TTCTTGATCTGTATGGCCGAGCATCTAATGCGAAAGTCAATATCAGCAAGACAGTGTTGGTGTCGTTGTCTGGTATGTCTCACTCTGCTTGGGTTGCTTTTGCTGATTCTACTGGTCTCCAGTGGCATGACGCTCACTCTCGTGGTGCAGTACGTTACTTGGGTTATCCCTTGTATCATACTGAAAGTCAACTTCAAGACTATCTTGATGGTGTCTTGGTGAAGGTCCAGCGACACAGTAACTTGTTGAAACAAAGGAATCTCTCCATTAGGGGAGCAGGACTAGTGGCTAACTCGTTACTGTTGTCAAAGGTATATCATTTGTTGCGTGTTGTTCCTGGTGGTGGTGTAACTGCGTCGTGGTTGAAGTCTCTCACTACGGTGGTCCGTGAGTATCTGGTGTCTTTTCGCCCTGGTATTGCCTGGTCTACTTTGTGTCTTCCTCGCAAATTTGGTGGTGTTGGTCTCGTGGATATAGCAGATCAAAGCTTAGCTTTGCATCTTGTCTATTTGCAACGTTTGTTGCGTCCACCCTCTCCTAGTGATTTTGTCTCCTCTTGGTTGGTGTATGCTTTTCAAGTTTACACTGGTCATAAGTCCATCTTGCCGTGGTTTTGTTTTCCTGGTCTTTACCAGTCTCGTGTGTCTTCTGTGCCTGCTCTAACACATCTTGGAAAGCTTTTGTTGAGATTGCCAAAGTTAGTTCCTTCCTCTGGTTGGTCTGCTAGCTGGTTTCTTGATCTTCCCTTGTGTTCTGTACTCAGTACTGTGCCTTCTGTTCGTCCTCCTCGTGATCCATCATCTCTTGATCCTCGTTTCTTGGTGTCGGATGTCTCTTTCTGGCAACCTGATCTAGGTATAGTCGATGGTGTCACTTCCCATCTTGCTTGGTCATCTCGTGTTTTGCGCCCTGTTTTTCTTGCTTTGAACCGTGATCGTGGTCCTGTCTCTCTGGTATTCCCGCCTGTCATGGATAGTAAGATAGTCTTGTCTCAAGCAGACTATTTTACTATGCCCCGTTCTGATGGTGCTACCTCTTGGATGCCAGGTTGTTCACATTGGACTGTCTCCAACTCGTCTCGTTCTACTGCTCCGGTTGCTCGTCTCTCTCTTGGTGCTTTGCGAAGGTATTGGCACCCTGCAAAGGGTACCATTACCTCTCGTATGGGTCCTCCCTTGAAGTTGCCTGCTCATTTGTTGCTGTCTCCTGCTTTGTGGCGTCTTTTCTGGTTCCTGGAAATGCCTGCAAAGGCTTTCACACCTTGGTGGCGATTGCTACATGACCGTGTCCCGCACCGCTCGTGGTGTCATAAGATTATGCCTACTAAAGTTCTGTCTCCTGCTTGTGCTCTTTGTGGTTTCTCTTCAGAGGACCTTTACCATTTCGTGGTAGGTTGCCATGTCAAGTCATTTTTCTGGCAGGATGTAGTCTCTTTGTTGTCACTTCAAGAGCTACTCCCCTCTGCTTCTTCTATTTGCTTGGTGCTGACTACCTTTTGTAGTGGTTCAGATTTGTTGGTGATCGATGAGGATGTTCTGATTGCTCTTGGTGCTGCTTACAGTACACTTTGGAAGTATCATTGGCAATGCGTCATAGACGAGGAGCCTTGGATAGCTTCTGCTGCTATCAACATGGTCCGTCAAGACCATGGTACACTCTTTTCTTCTCTTTCTTTGGCAAGTGTTCAAGCTGGCACCTTGGCCTTGCCTGTAATTACTGTATAGACTATAAATTTCAAAGCTAATAAAGATACACTTTAATACAAATAAAAACTGAAACATTCCCAATAAACAATGATGTTTCTCCCACTCTTCATACGCAACTATTACTACCGTAATATTACAAGCTGCCTTGGCAGTTCGCGAGGCGTAATATCGTCTCTCTTATGGATCCTTCATTAAGCTCATTCGGTGCTGTTTAGAATAACGAAATATAGACAGAGTAAATACAATTAGAACTGAATATATTTATTATGTTATTCCAAGATTGAATAGGGATCAAACCTACACTACGGCCCAACTGATGTTCTCACAGAACATCGATGCGCTCTTTTGGGAACATCGATGTTCTCATGAGCACATTGATGTTCTCATTTGAGAAGGTGTAGTTTTCCACATGAATAAAATGGTTTTAATAGCTAAACTATAATATTGTAGGCAACAGAGAGACTTTTATTATCTGTAAGATTCATAAAATTACTAAACGTATTATATATTGCACGAGAAAATGGCAATTTAAAATTACCTAATAACTACTTATTAAAGTAAAAGAATATATTTCATTAAGATATTCGAGTAGTTTAGTGGGAAGAACGTCAGATCCACAACCGATAGGTTGTGGGTTCGACCCCGTTAGGAGCATTCTTTTTTTTCAAATTTCTGAAAATCGATGTGCTCATATAAGAATATGGATGTGCTCACATGGGAACATTTCGGATGTTCTCATAAGAACATCGGCCGACTTATAATAGATCTTTAGGAACGCCGATGTTCTCATATGAGAGCATTTTTCACATTTCGGGAACATCGATGTGCTCATTTGAGAACATCAAATAGATTCTCATATGAGCGCATCAATGTTCTCATGAGAACATCAGTTGGGCCGTAGTGCTAGTGTAGATATCAAAGGTATTTATAGTTATTTGACAGTGCCGCAGCAATAGGACCTTGATCTTGAATGCGGGATAATTGTATAAGCCTTGAACCAGTAGCGAGGATGTGCTGCATCAGAACTCATGAACCACCAGTCAAGGATAAACAACAAAGATGATCCAGGATAGAATATTCTTCCTAATGGCTTTGACGGAAGAACATTTGTCGGAATTGAAACCCACTTCCAGGGACGAAAGGCCATAGGCTACCACTCTCTAGGAACCAGGATATAGATTAGCCATTTGATGGCACCACTCATGTTCCTTCGTGCTGCTTGAATAAAGACCTCTCACTTCTACTATGCATCTAAACTCATTCTCAGATCCTCTTATGTAATATACAACGCCTAATACATTTGCCTCTCAGAGATGATCTATATCCTCAACAGGTGCTTTCCCCTGTGTGGCGTCTTTTCCCAGACAATAATATGACAGATTTGACTACTTAGTATCATATCAGAAACTAATGTCAGACGGAATCAAAACTTCTAGAAGTTACTCCCTGGCTTAGGTAATGAGAAGATTTTGGCATAAGCTTCTGGTAAAAGCGTCTGCTGTCAGGCTATCAGCAGAGAAAGACATAGCGGTTTGTGGCTTCTTTGCTTTGCTTCCGGTATTTAAAAGATACTGCAGTAAAACTGGGTTTAATCAGTTTTACAAAGAAAATAAAGCAACGGTAAAACACAATAGAAATCAACTGTATTTTATTTATGTATTACTTGTGCAGTAAAAAAGGGGTTAAAAAAGCAGGTAGAATACTGTTAAAGTTCTTCTTTATTCGAAATTAGAATAATGTGCAATAAAATGTATATTCTACGTCTCTTCTATTTATATTATTTGGTTTATATCTCTTATCTGGCAGCAGTTTAATAGTTGCCAGTGATTCCATTACTTTATATATTTTTGTTGGGTCATTTAGTTGTTGATCTGATGAATCAAGAATGGTATCTCAATATATGGTTTTTGAATCATGCGTAAAAAATAGCTCTTTATTGTTGAGCCTGCATCCTTTTTAGGTATATTTATGTTACAACACATTACAATACCCTTGACATTTACTTTAGTATCTGTCATCTCTTATTTTAGAGCATTTAACCCTTGCTATCATCATGCTAATACTATTACTATGCATGCTTATCTGCTGATGGTACAGTGCGCGAAAAAAACGTTCCAGTGTTTTGTCAACTCGTAGTTTTACACTTACAGCTCTGCCAATTTTGCTCCAATTTTAAAACTAAAATAAGGCTATTAGACCTTGGGTTGACAGCCACAAAATGAGCTACTAAAATAATTGATATAATAATTAGTGAGCGATTGCGACTGACGTAAAGTAAAAAAGTTCGATTTTGTAAAATTTGAAATATCGTTGGATGACCTTATTGTTCGTATACATTCCACAAAGATAATCCGAGAATCGTAATTTTTTACATCAGTCATGTTTAGTATGTTAGTTATTTGAGGAATGCTTAAAAAAGTATAAACGAGCCTAAGATTTTGATCGTCCACCTCATAATATTTTACCATCTTGACGTGAGCACTTTCCTTCACATGACGCGTTCCATTCCTCAGGAGGCTCAAGAATCTGCCAAGTTTCTTTTCAACCAGAGTTGCTCCCTCCATGGCATTCAAAGAGTCTTCCCGGATTTGTCCCTCAGTGTACTTTCTAGCTGTTGTGCCAGAAGGGCTACAACTGTCTATAAAGATTAAGGTATTCTTGATGGGTAGATATGTCTGTGTTGTGCAACAACATGGACAAGCTATGATAAGTGAAGTGCATCTCAGCTATCTAAATACTGAGGTTCACCAGATGTGATAAGCGTTGTACAAGATAAATTGCTACTTTGGCATTCAGAACTTAGTATAAATAGAATAACTCTTGTCTTCATCAATAAATCTTTAGTTTTTGTGTCTGATCTTATTCAAATAAGTCTTTTCTTGTTTTTATAATATCGAACATTTTTTATAAGCTACAAATAATAATCCTTTTATTCTTTGTGCTTAACACTAGCTATAGGAAGAAGTTTCTCGCTCATCGAGACATGCCAAACCGGGAAAACGAAGCAAAATCACTACGCAGAATATGAACTACATCCAGAGGAATTTGCGCAATGTTAGTTTAGGCGGCCCCAGGGGTGTGCGGTGCTACCTTGCTTATACGGGAGTTTAGATGACTTTGAGAAACATAGAGTATATACTCAAGCGCAAAGGGTTCAAGTCTAAAAGGAAAGTAAAGACCAATTTCGTGCGTGCGGAGAACCGGAAAAAGCGACTTGTGTAAACCAAGAGACATCGCCATTTGACTACAGACGACTGGCGTAGATGGGGATTTTCCAATGAAACCAGGGTCAACATGCGGGGATCTGACGGCAAATCTTTTTACTGGACTAACAGCCTCATTGAGTTGATGCCTCATCAAACTGAGGCTCAAGTCCAGGTAGATGGTGGTGGTGTTGTTTTCTACGGCATGACAACAGCGGAGGGACCCAATTATGGTTCTACCTTTACCGATGGAACTGTTAACTTAGAAGTTTATGCTGAAATTCTGGAGTCATCTTTGCTAGACACTATGGAGTATTATGGGATTGACAAGAAAAGTTTAGATTCCAGCAAGATAACGCAAGACAACATACTTCTGGTCCCATTAAGAAATAGTTCAGACATCACGGACTCTCTGTGCAAACTGTTCTTGATTAGCCCGCCCAAAGCCCTGATTTTAACCCCATTGAACATGTCTGGCATGAGCTAAAACTTCGTTTGAACAAGTACCCTACTAAAGCCACCAGCCCTTCTGAGCTAGAGGAGACAATTAAACAGCAATGGTATACATTCACGAAAGAAGTCTGTCTTAAATACATAGACAGCATGCCATGTCAAATTAAAGCGATATCAAGAGTAAAGGTGGACCAACTAAATATTATGCTTTTTTATAAAATCAAATAAATTCCACTTTTCACTTTCATGAGGCTACCATTCTTTTTCTAATCTAGTGAATAAAGCGCATAATATATCATCGGACAGCCAACTACTTAGGCTATTTATCAACGCTGAGCGTACACCAATAGCCTTGATGTTTACAGAGAAAATTGGTAATAAGTACAATTTGGCAAAACACTGGAACGTTTTTTTCGCGCACTGTATTTGACCTAGTTGACTTGACTGCAAATCTCCACGTTGGTGTGTGCGTTATATTTAGCGACCAAATAAAGGTTATGAGGCACAACTAAAGGATTATCAATAGTGATTCTTTCACTATGCCTGGAAATTGCACAATCAGTCATCAATCGTCTTCTGTATACGATGATGTTGCTTGATTCTTTTGGGTTGGTAGTCGTTTCGTCCATGAATGGGTACGAATAGTTTTTTGAACAGTTACCGTTTACCGTGCAGAAAGCATTCGGATCTAACAGACCGCATGGCCAGTAAATCATGCTGTTAACCACTGTTTCTTGAGCAAGTGGGTTTGAAGCAGGATCAGGGATTTCTGCGGATACAATCCTTTCGATCTTCTCAATGGTCGTTGGCTTGTCCTGGTCTTGCAATATGAACAGCATATGACAATGAGGTAGCCGCCGTTTCTGAAATTCAATGGAGTAAACATACGCAATTTCTTTTCCCAGAACAGACTTTTTTACAACATCTTCAATATCTAGTCCCCATCCGACCTTGTCCAAGCACCAGGAGAGTATTTCCAGCAGCTTGTGTTTAGGTGTCAATGCTGGTTTGTGTGCGGCCTTATACAGTACAACAACTGTTGATTTTATCAAGAAATCTGCAGTTCTGGTGTCTGATCCTATTCAGTAAGTCTCTTAATGTTTTTGTGACCTCAAACATTTTTTTACAAGCTGCAAATTATAATCTATTTATTCTTTGCGCTTAACAATAACCTTATTGTTAGAATGCAAGCTAAAAGATGTTTGGAGCTTTTGGCAGCGAAAAATATTCTTCAGGTTTTGACTTTTCAGAAAAAAAACATTTTCGAGAGAGCTATGCAAATTTCTTGTTTGACCCTGATTTTCTGAACGTAACCCTCAGGAGAAGACTCTAGTTTTTAATGTTTTACTAGACATAACAGCAGTAAACTATCCTAAAAATTATACCATTTAATGCGTCGAATTGAGGGCTATAATATTTATGTAATGAGCTAATATTGTTTACTTATTATTTCTTGCGATACTAAAAAAAAGCAAACTTTGGGTGTCTCGAAATGAGGTTTGAAAATTAAACTCAGACATGTTTAAATGCCCGAATAAATGGGGCCTAGCTGGATCCGCTTAGATTCTGCTGCTCTCCAATTTTCGGTCATCTCCAGGTGGCAAACAATGAGTGTTTCATCACCGAGATCCACCAAGTACCGTGACCCACAAAACTGTCCCTGTGGAATTTGAGGATTGATAGACTAAAATTCACGGAAAAAAAAAGAATAAAAAAACAGTAATGTCAACTTGATAAAGGTATATTTTATTATCAAACTGACAGGTGTAAAGTAAACTGAAGTCTCTCTACTGGCCAGGTAGATGATCCTTCTTATATACTATAACAATGGATAAAAGTTCTATTAATTAGATTGACAAATAAGTCAACTCAGATCAACTAATGTCTAATCATGCTAAAAGACAACTCCAGCAAGCTAATCATGATTTAGCTCTGTCTGGATGAATAATTAGACTCTCATCCGAAGTACCCTGATCTATCCTTTCCATAAGGATAATTAATATCGATCTACTGTAGGGGGAAAAACTGTCCCGTTCGTTTAAAATTTTGTCTTTTTGCACAAGTTTTTGGTCATTTCTTTGTATACAAAGTCGAAATATATATCGTTTGAATGAGAGAAAGTAGTGCTATCTATACATAATTATAACTTTTTCAAAAACTAAAATCCAATGATTTTATTGGTTAAAAAATAAATATAGAAAAATGTACATTTTATTATAAAATCATTAATAGTGAGTTGAACCACCTTTGCTCTTGGTGACAGCCTTGATTCGGGCAGGCATACTATCAATATATTTCTGGCACTCTTTTTTTGTTATTTTGTACCACTGAATGTTAATACGCCGCTCTAATTCTTCTTTTGTAGAGGGCCTAGTAGGATACTTATTAAGACGAAGCTTTAGGAGATGCCAGACATGTTCAATGGGATTAAGATCGGGACTTTGGGGTGGCCAATCCATGATTTCGTCTAGGTTAAACCCATTTTCGGTGAACCATTGTTTAGTAATGCCCGATGTATGCGGTGTTGCTCTGTTTTGTTGAAATCGCACATCAGATGGTGTCTTCCCAAAGTGCGCAAGAGTGTCGTCCAATGATGTCTTGAAAATATCGACATACAAGTCCGAGTTTATTGAGCCTTCGATAATGGTAGTACCATAACCAGGCTCCTCCGCTGTTATGCAACTTCAGAACATGACTCCACCGTCATTTCCCTGCACTTGAGACTTGACTTGATACGGCTGCATGGTTCGGCCACCATTCGTCCGATAAAAAGAACTACCATCTGAGCCCCAAAGGTTTACTTTTGTTTCATCCGAAAACACTCAACAACGCCAATCAGCAATAGTAAGATGCCTATGCTTTTTAGCCCACGCCAATCGAAGCCGCTTGTTTGTCTTGCTAACAAAATTGGTCTTTACTTTTCTACGAGATTTAAGTCCATTTCGTCTCAATGACTTGCGGATGCCATTAATTGACATATCATGGCCCATCAATCTTAAAATTTCTTGTGCTGCTCGGGGATTATCTAAAGCACCTGATCGAAGTCCTCTTGACACTAGGGACATAGTTTTAGCATCAAGTTTTTTCGGTCTTCCGCCAAGAGGTCTAGCTGGGTCAGGACAATATAGTTTTCTGAGCCTTGTAAGGGTAGAATTACCCACTTCTGGATACAAATTCTTTATCTTTGAGAGCGAAAGACCACGTTAGAGCAAAGATTGGAGAATGTTGCGCAAATCTTGTGTTAAACGAGCAGGCAAAATGAAAGTTTTGAAAAAAAATAAGAAAGCAAAGAAATAAAGAAAATACATGAAGAAACTAGCTTCTTTTACACTTTTAGAGTGCTCCTGGGATATTAAATATCCTGAGCATACCGCGGGTAGTTTTTTAGATTTCTTCAATACGCCTGTTGGAAGTAAAGATATCAACCATTTTATATCATCTAGAATTACCCACCTAACATTTTTGCCACGTCTCACTTTAGCTGGTTATACTGGGATTAAAATATAGTCCAGCCATAAGGTTTTTATGTTGCTGTAATTCCTATAGGCTGTTCTATCGAACGCAGTATGTGGTGGCTTTGTTTTCCGAGTTTTGGCAATATACTGGGTAAAAGTCAAGATTATTTAAACGAACGGGACAGTTTTTCCCCCTACAGTAGTAGCATGTATCCGATAGGTACAGTCTTCTTAGTCTATATTAATAGTACATATCTGAGTGTATATCGCTAAGCATACATCTTTAGCATGTATCTGGATATATGGCATGTCTATAGCATATCGTATGCATGTCTATAGCATGTCTCATATATAGTACAAGTCTGTAGTACATAAAGTATCTGTAACTAGTATCACGGATATAAGCATGTGTCTTATAGCGTGGATCATGAAGTGCACATCTGAAGCAACAAGCTCATATTGCATTAATCTTGGTGCCTATCCAGATATGGTAAACATCCGTAGTCAATGTCGGAATACAAGTATAAGTCTATAGTGCCATCCATGTCCGTGGTGCCATCTATAGCCTATATCTTATATAGTATGAATCTTATAGTACTAGCGTATCTGAAGTCCATATCTTCTTATAGTATAAATCGATATCGTACATCTAATCCAGTGTACATACAGTTTATATCTAAATCTGGTAACTGGATGAACTGTCGGAATGCAGATCATAGTGGATGTATTCCACAGTCCCAATGTTTAGCGATTTTAATTTTCAGACCTTACCGCCGGACGAGAAGTTATTCGGTAATAATAAATTTAGCATTTTCTGAAAGCTAAAACTGTTTTCTTTATATCGTATAATTTGTACAAGCATATAGCTGTAGGAGCACAAGTTGTGATAGGCCAAAGTCATTAGGTACATTGGAACAGTATTGTGAGATCTTTTGAAAAATCACAAATTTGATGGTAACTGAAACCCACAATTTGGAATAACCTCGAGAGTGTCATATAGGAAAGCCTCATGTAGCGCAAGAAGTCTCCATTATCCAAATCGGAGTTCTAAATATCAGGTAGGTCGATTATCAGGCCATAAAAACCGTTTCTGTCTCCAAGGTTAATTCTGCAATCACAATGCTTCGAAGCGATGTTTCGATTCGGAAAATTGCTGAAAAACTGTCTTTCGGTAAGTCGAATTAGAATGGAGCATTGTCTGGGTCTGGAAACCTCGAAAGGTGGTCGTCCAAGGGTGTTATCTGAAGCCGACAAGCGCTATAATGTTCGAAAGATAACTAAGGAGCGGGTTTCAAGCGCCGTCAAGGTCACAAAAATGTCGGAGAGAATTATTCAGATGAAGGTTCATCCGGAAACCGTTCGTAAAGCACTCCACACTGCGGGTTTAGGGGCTGTCGAGAAGGAAAAGAAGTTTTTGCTTAGTCACGCTAATGTCAAAAAGAGACTTGCTTGGTGTAAACAGCACAAGGACTGAACTGTTAACGACTAGAAGCGTGCTATTTGGACAGACAAGACCAACATTAACCGTTTCAACTCAGATGGGCGACAGTGGGCCTGGATCCGATCTGGTGAACAGCTTCAAAACCACCATGTCAAGCTCACGGTAAAACACGGTGGTGGTAGTATCACACTTTGGAGTGTCATTACGTATGCTGGTGTTGGCTGGAAGTGCATGATAAATGGTAATATGGATAAAGCACTCTACAAGAAAATCCTTCAAGACGAATCGGAGCAGACTATCACTTTTTCCATCGAGAAATTGGGCTTCCGCCGTGAACAACAAGTGATATTCCAGCAAGACAATGATCCTAAACACACCTCAAATTTGGTCAAGGATTACCTTCAGGAACAATCATACCAGGTCATGGAGTGGCCCCCACAACCTCCAAACTTCAATCCCATCGAAAACATGTCGGCTTTGTTGAAAAGGCGTCTTAATGAGTAGGAAGCCGCAACTAAGTCTATGAGTGAACTTTATGAGCGAGTAACCGAGATTTGGTATGACCAAATGAAGCCGGGGGAGTGCCAAAAGGTTATGGAAAGCATGCCTCGACATATTGAGTTCGTTGTCAAAACTAAAGGGAAACGGACAAAGTATTAAGGTCCTATAAAATAACAGAACTTGATTTTTCCAAACATCCCACAATACTGTCCCAATATACCTCATGGCTTTGGCCAATCACAGCTTTTACTCCTACAGCTATATGCTTATACAAATTAAGCGGTATAAAGAAAACAGTTTTAGCTCTTAGAAAATGCTAAATTTATTATTACCGAATAACTTCTCGTCCGGCGGTAAGGTCTGAAAGTTAAAATCGCTAAACATTGGGACAGTTTTGTGGGTCACGGTATTAGATCAGTTCTTCCAGGCACCCATTAACTTTCCTCAATCACGATGGGATGACCTCAAAGCAGTAGTGAAAACCATTGCACGTTGCATTGGCCGCCGCCGCACAGCTTTTGGCGCAACCGACAGCTCAAAAGACTCCAACGGAGGAAACGAAATCAGTTATTCAAACTATACAAGGATCACCCCACCATCCTACGCGACCGCTTGTCCGTCATCGAGAAAATAATTAGCGGCCTACAACATGAAATATCCATCCAACAAACAATTCGTGCTGGGAAACTTTGGCGCGAGCAGGGCGAAATATCTGCTGGGTACCTCAAACGTACCATCACCACCCGACAAATCCAACGAACTATGTTGGCTCTATAGCATTCAGACACCCAATCCATTTGCGATATAGCGGAGACCATGCAGGATGCTGCAGTCTGTTTCTATCGTAAGCTATATACCACTGATCCCGTTGTAGATTCTACCAGCATATCTGAGCTCTGCAACACCATCTCTGCAACAGTCCAGATCCCATTGAACAACCACCTCACCTTGGAGGTTTCTTTTATGGACGCCTACAACCAGATTGGCACGAGCTTCTTGCTACACACCAAATCCACCAAATACATGACCACATCTCTCCTGATCGAGTAACATACTTTAGCTATCCCATATGCTCTAGTTTATCGCAACGCGATCTCGCTTTCCAGCGACTCTACAAAAATATCCAACAGTGCATCCATATTCATTCCCAACAGAACCTCTCCATTCGTGGAAGAGCTACCGTTCTCAGCACACTCTCATTTTCTCGAAGCTCTGACATGTCATGCGCAACTTTATTTTTACCAAAGCTCAATTACTCTCCTTACGCAGTCTTGGGCCCTCCTTCATTAACATTCGTATATTCCCCAAACTATCCTTTAGAACCCTTCAACAGCCTCGCCATCATGGCGGCCACCAAGTTTTAGATCCCATTGTCCGACAAGAAGCTCTCCAATGGCGCTGGATTTGCCCCCTCATTTTGGTCGCCTGTCATTCACCACTATTACCGACATACACCACTCCAAGTACTTCAGCCCTTCAATACACCTTGCAACAGTATTTCAACTCTACCACTTTCTCTGATTACTTTTACTACTTACTCTTTCCCGCCGCTGGGCAAGCCATCTGGCTCCAACATCGACCCAGCCCAACCCAAGCTTTCCTTAACACACTCACCAACGTCATTACCGCCATGGATCGAATACCTTGCTCTTTCACAACCTGTCACTTAGATTCCCATACACGTCTATCCTTACCTTTCCTTGAAATTATCTTGTATACCCTCCCTTCTACTCATCCCCATTTCTCTTCTTTCACAGCTCCAGATCACCTGTTTAACCGACATCCCGGTGTCCAGGAACTGCTTGCAATAATAGATGTGCTCACATACGACGCTGTTGACTTACAGGTGATCCGTGTTGGAAAGTGGTCTGTCTTCGAGCTTGCCTGCTACCTTCGAGCCTCTCGTCGCGTTGCGACTTCTCCCATTATTTGTCCCTTCATTCGACGTCTACTCAAACCGGCTATTCCTCCACCTCCACGAGTGCCGCTCATAGTATACAATACCATAAACACCTGGTTATCACCAACATCTCCAGCATCAACGTTTGGCTACTCTCATCATCTCAATAGTGCACCTTTTGGAAATCAACCATCCCCCTTCAATCTTATACTGTATGATATTGCCTCATACATCGCAAAATCTCATCCAGAGCTACCCTCCATCATATCATTCCTACCATTCACCCCTCCCCTGCATGTCCACTATGCTCTACCCAATGCGAGGAGAATCTTCAACACTTCTTCTTTACTTGCCCTCTGAAACTAGCAGTATGGCAGTTTACTGCCACTACCTACCTCTCACACATTCCTCTGTCTGACAAAGCCCTATTGCAATCCTTACAAGCTACCCAAACGCTCTCAACAGCGGAAACCACTCGCTCTGCGTCACTACCCATTCCAGAGCTTACCGTTTATCGAGTTTTCGCTACCAGCTTACTCTGTATATAATAAGGATCATTGGCGCTCCATCTCTGATCACGTCCCTTTTGCCATTGTCCATGTTAACACATCTATTGCTCATTCTCTGGTTTGCTTGGGCTCGAAATTACAGTTTGTTCTGTATGTACTTTAATTTTAAGACTTCAAATTTTCTTTGCCTTCCCCTCCCCTTTGCATATTTCCTGTCTTCTTCTTCCTTCAATATGACAATTCTCTACAAAAAAATATTGATTGCTCTGTTATATCAAATGTCCTAACAGGACCTCACACTAAAGATTTTGAATTATTCATAGGCCCTTTGGGTAAATCCTGCTAATCATGATTTACAAATCGTTTATTCGGTAGATAGTAAACCTATTTGTATTATATATAGCTCAACATCCTGATGTAAACCCTAGCATAATGAAAAGTATATAAATGCATCCAGAGGATGCATTTTCAATAAAAAGGCGATTCTTTGGCAGATTCAATTTTCCATTGTATTTTGACGCAACATATCCATTTTTTTTCTATCCTTATTATAAAAAGGAAGGTATAAAGATGCTTTGAAATTGAGAGATATGCAAATTCCTTGTTTGACCCTGATTTTTGGCCTCAACCCTCAGAAGGATTTTTTTTTTACTCTTTACTAGACACAAAAGCAGCAAAACATTTAACAGATTATGCCATGCAATGCGTGTGATTGAGAATTACCATATCTCTTTGACCGATCAGAACTTTTAATCTGTTGTTTTTCAAATTAACAAGGAAAACCTTGATTTCTCTAAGCTTAAAAATGCCACTTTGCGCTCAAGCCCAGAAGCTATTTTACAGTCGTATTAAACTTCTCAAGTCGAGTGCTTTTTATCTTTATTATAAAGGGTAAAATAGAAAAAGTATATTAAACTAAGGCTTTTTGGTGCAAACATTTGGCATTCTTTAAGAGATATAGCCCTTTGAGCAAATGTATGTTCTCACATAATCAACACATTGCAAGCACTGCATCGAAAAAGTACATGTTACGGCCAGAGTGAAGATTTATTTGATTAAAGCTTGTAAATAAAATGTGGATCTTCAATATCCGTAATGTCAGTCTGATGACCCAAAAATTCATCATCTTGTTGTTGTGACAATCTTACATTATTTCTTTTTGCCATGCTATGTCTTGCGATTAAAAGTAAAAATACAGAAATAAGATTGGCAATAATATAGCCTATCAAACCGCCAATGTATGTTGGCTTTTGGCTCTCCAGCATCATCTGTGGGCCTGCAAAACTCCCTAATGTTGCAAAAACAACAGTTGAGCTATTGTAAAATATTTTTTTGGTGTATCCTGAAACATTGTTAGAGATCGATGTCGAGATTAGAGCTACAGCTGCCACATAAGCAAAGCAAAAGTACAAGCCTGCTAGTTTCGCTTGCGAAAAAGGAATAATGATTAATAGTAAATGTCCAATAGAAGAGCCCAATAGAAATACACAAGCAAGATAATGGTATGCGGAATTCACAAGCCAGTGCTGCCACACAAGAGCTGAGATAACAAACAGAACGTCAGTTATACCAGAGGGTATGCTCAAAAGAATTGCATTCAAATTCTAGTCAAGTTTGGTTTGTTTGTATTCATAGACTTGTGCCAATTCCTTCAAACTTACAGAAAAGCCAAATCCTTTAGTAATGATGGAGCTGAATACTAATAAAGCGCCATTCTGCAGAGACACTAAGAAAGAAAAGCCCATATAACAATAGTATCTGTACTCTGTCAAAGCCTCAGTTATTTGAGATATCTTGAATTTTCTTGTAACAATGACTGAATTATCTTTTATTCGAAGATCGATGATAGCCTCTTCGCTAGGTGAGTTCACAATTGATTTCGCATCATCTTTCAAGATGAAAAAGCAGAGAATACCGACCAAGACCGTTACGCTACCGAGAATGATCATCATCCTGCCAAACGTTGTTAATTTTCAAAAACTTCATATATATATATATAGCAGCTGTTCCCTTACCATTTCCACGCACTGAGACTCCAAATACTGTCCATGTGGCCAATAACGTAAGAGAGTATTCCTCCAGTAGACATAGAGAGGCCACTGACAATATAGAACGCAGCTATGCGAGTGAATTGCTCGTTGCGGCGATATAAACGACTGATCAAAATATTTGCTGCAGGAAATACGCCGGCTTCAAATATACCCAGAAGAAATCTGAACACCATCAAATGAGTAAAGTTTCTTGAAATAGCGGTCAGACCTAGGACGATGCCCCAGGACGCCATTATTACACCTAGGTATTTTCCAACCGAAAACTTTTGAATAAGATATGCTGTTGGCACCTATACTCCTTTTAATAGATTAGTCAAACACAGTTCATACTCTGTCCCTGATTTAATTTGTACCTGGAATATCAGGTACCCTATAAAGAATATAGAGCCTAGCCAACCAAACTGAGTGTCAGTCAACGAGGTTTCTTCTTTAATGCCCAACATTGAAGAATAGTTCAAGGCTGATTTGTCAAAAAACTGATACATATGAGTGCTATGGCTGATATTCATATATTCAACACTAACCTGAATCATACATAGGGCACAGATCCAAGGCATGACATAAATGTAATCTAGTTTCTTTACAATTGATTTTTCTATTTCCTGGATGTTCTTGTCTCTTCTCTGTGGAAGCACATACTCGTCACTGCTTTCCATTCCTTTTTCAAAGCATGAAGGCACCATAGTCTGGTCTTGCTGCATCGTTTTCTCTCTACTTCTGCCAGAATTATGTGTGTTGGTAATAATTGAGAGGAAAAAAAAAAGCATTCAAACAGCCTATTCTTATATCACGATGTGTATATGCAATTATAACAGCTTGCTGGGCATCATCTGATTCTCAACCGAAAGATAATCCATCACACCATGCCGAGTTTTAACGGCTGCAATTGTTTATACTGTCATCACGCATCTGGGTAATATGTACATGAAATTAATTTATAATGGATATATTACGGTGTAGAAGAGGAATCTGAGAATAAGATATGTAAATGATGCTTATAAAAAAAAAAGAGAATATAATGCTAAATAAAAAAAAAAATATTACAATTATTTTCGTTTTATAAACGATACAAAAAGTTAGTGTCCTGTATATCGCTTAAATCATCTTCGACATGCGTCATGACTACAGTGGTGGATGACAATCGCTGCTTGTTGATAGTGGCCATCTTCCATCTTGCAACCAGTAAAAGAACAACGACAATGGTGTTGGCACAGATGTAGCCCAACATCGCTCCAATGTAATTTGGGGCTTGCTCTTCAACAATCATCAATGGGCCACAGAAATTACCAACGGTGTAAAAGATCATCAACACACCATTGTAGAAGATTTTCTTGGTGTATCCTGACACATTGTTAGAGATAGAAGTTACCAGCAAGACATAGGCTGCACAGTAGGACCATGCGAGGTAAAATCCCAAAAGTTTGACGTGGGTAATAGGGATAACCAACATCAGAATAAGGCCAATGATATCAATCACCATAAGGCCAACAGCAGTGTAGATGGTTTGCTTTGTCTTGTGTACACAGTAAATTGCACCAACAATAAAGATGATATCAGCACCACCTGCCCCGACACTTAATAATACAGACTCAAGACCCTAAAGATAGATTCTATGAATATACGTGCATACCAATTAAAATATCAGGGTCTTACAGTGAATCCAAAACTCATGGCAAATTGCGTATTATAAGTTGTCATGGCACCATTTTGTAAGTTGATAAATAAACAAGAGAAACAAAAGCACCAAAATCGAACCTCCTTGAGAGCTTCCATGATTTGATTCTTCTTGATGTTCGTTGTGCGTACAACAGCATTATCTCTTGTTCTTTCTTCAACAAGGATTTCTTGTTCAGCATTGAGATGAAGAGCAGGCGATTTCGGATTATCAATCAAGAAGAAGAAACTAAAGATTCCTATAAAGGCAGTAATGGACCCAAGAATAATCATGATCCACTTCCATTTAGGTAAACCTCGAGCGTTGCCCATTTGATCAATGCCATATGTAATCAAACCACCAATTACAAGCGCTACGCCATTACAGAGCCAAAATGCACCCAAACGAGCAGCTTGCTCGGAGCGGCGGTAGAATGTACTGACAAGCAATGTCAAAGAAGGATAAACACCGGCTTCAAAGAATCCCAGCAGAAAACGCATTGCGGCAATCTGGGAAAAGTTTGTTCCTGCTGCAGTGCAAGCTAGTACAGAACCCCATAAGAATACAATGATACCAATGTATCTTCCCACAGGGATACGTTGCAACAAATAATTATTAGGTAACTAGAACACAAGAGTATTAAATGTCATGGGGACTAATTTTGGGATTTCAAGTTACCTACCTGGTACAACAAATAGCCAAGGTAGAAGATGGACCCAATAAGGCTGTATTGGCTACCATTGATGTTCAAATCTTGCTTAAAGTCTAATGCAGCAGCGTAGTTAATGGTCGATTTATCTAAGAACTGGACATTCTGTCAAAACACGGCATCTCTTTAATCGACTTTATTAAAACGAACCTGCAGAAAATCAATAGTACAGATAAGTGGCATCAAGAAACAGTCAATTTTTTTGACAAGCGATTTTTCCTCCATCGACATTGGCACATCTTGGTCCTCACGATACATGCCATACTGGTCAATTGTTTCGGTTTCGTACTGACTATGGTGATTGTATCCATATAATGAATTGTTGGATCTCTTTTCCAAGGACTCCATGTTTATTTCTGACGCAGGATACGTCGTTGATTGAATTGATTTTGAATCGAAAATGTTGGTCTATGGATATGCTGCTCTAAAAGTAAAAATGTAGAGATAGTAGAGCAAGAGGTATATATATAAAACGAGAAAAGTGAGAGGGAAGGAAAGAGGGAAATTGATCGAGTCTAACTAACAAAAATCGCTAATGATATTTTCCTTTGTTATTTGGGCGGAGGATGTTTACGAGTGTAACTTTATTCGGATTGACAGAGCTTTTAATACATACACTGTTATTGTGCACTGGCTATCTATATAAAGTATGGATGCTTAGGTTACTTTTGATATGCATCTTATACTACATAATATCTATATTCCAACTTTTTATCTAGGTAATATTCTGTGTTCTTTTGATTTACAAATTCTGTCAAGAAGAATTTTTTTTTTTTTTTTTTAATAATAAGATTTCGGAGACAACCAAAAAAAGGAGAGGGTTCCTCAATTCAACTAAATCAACGTAAATTCTTGATGCTCGAAAAACTTTATTAGTTGCTTAGTTATGGGATTTGGTTCTCTATTCAAAAAGGTTCTATCGTGTTACTGAATGTATTAAATGGAGCTACTCGTAACAGATTTATTTCGTTACAAACATTCCCATTGTACAAGTTGTGTAAAGTAGAAGCGGATCATGAATTAAGCGCGTGGACGAGTTGCGCCTAAAATCAAATTGCATGTACGAATATATTTGTGTCCGTATTGCACAACAGGTTTTCATGGTGATACACAGGTAATCAAAGGCACAAAACTCTAACATCATGGCACAAGGATCTATTGGTAGAGGAGCAACTCAGCTTGAAATCATTCGTTTATTTTTGAAAAAAATATAAAGATGGGTATTGATATTTGTAGCAGTAGTAGTTGATAGAATTAAAGTCTATAAAGGAAATGGGGGTTTTCTTTGTCAGTTAAATCTTGAGTAGGATCGATCTTCTCCTTAGCAGGATTTTCGAGACGTTGTTTGTTGGATTTAGCCATGGTATAACGGGCAATTTGTAACAAGACAATACAGATCGCATCAGCGGCAATATAGCCGATCATGCCACCCAGGTACAGTGGTTTCTGGCTATCGACAATCATTTGAGGTCCAGCAAAGTTGCCAATGGTGTAAAATACCATAACGGAACTGCTGTAGAAGATCTTCTTGGTATAACCAGATACGTTGTTAGCCAAAGCAGTTAAGAAGAGAACATAGCCAGCACAGAAAGACCAGCACATGTAGAGACCAACGAGCTTAACCTGAGGAACAGGAATGACAATGAGTAAGATGAGACCAAGAATACAGATACCAAGCATGATACAGGCAAGATGAAGAGTGTTGCCATACTTGCGATTGTACCAAATGGCAAAGGCAATGTAGATACAATCAACTACACCTGAAGGGATAGTGAGCAGGATGGCATTCAAACTCTATATGATTTACAATGTCATTAGCTTTTTAAGTGTGAGTAAATCAAGAATGTTAATTTTACCGAGAATCCGAACCCAGCGGTGATAATAGCACTAAATGTGTTTAGTGCACCATTTTGAAGATTGAAGAGAAGGGAGGCAAAGATGAAACAGTAGTAGCGAGGCTCCTTGAGAGATTCAACCATATGGTGCCATTTGATTTCCTTGGTGATGATAGTAGCATTGTCAATGGTGCGAAGTTCAACGACCTTCTTTTGAGCAGGCGTCAATTTAAGGAACTTTGATTTGGGATTGTCCACCAGCAAAAAGAAACAAAAGAGGCCAAAGACGATGGTGACAGCACCCAAAATGATCATAATCCACTGCCAGGCATTCATACCATGGACACCCATCATGTGGCCGATACCGTAACCAACAAGACCACCGATAGCCATAGCAATACCGTTACAAATGTAGACACAGCCAATGCGACCAGCTTGCTCGGAACGGCGATACAAGGAACTGACGATCATGATGCAGCATGGATAGATACCAGCCTCAAAGAAGCCAAGCAGGAAACGGAGAGCAGCTAACTGAGAAAAGTCCTTGGCCTTACATGTTACTGTAAGAACGACGCCCCAGATAATAATGAGGGCACCAATGTATCTGCCAATAGGCAATCTTTGAATCAAGTAAGTATTTGGTACCTAAGCACGTTGAGAATTAGTAAAAAGAATAGGTATGGTGCCTGCCTTTTTTTTTTTTTTTTTTTTTTTTTTTTTTTTTTTTTTTTTTACCTGATACAGCAAGTAGCCAAGATAAAATATGGAGCCTAGCCAAGCGAATTGAGCATTACTGATACCAGTATCTTCTTTGATACCCAAGACGCTGGAATAATTCAGTGCGGATTTATCGAAAAACTGCAAGAAATTAAGGATAGCAACACAAGGCATGACATAAAGATAATCCAACTTCCAAACGAGTCTCTTTTCAGCAGCAACCAGTTCCGGTGTCATTTCATTAGACTTTTCCTCATCACTATACACAGTGTGAGCATCATCAAGATGCTTCTCCTCCACTGACTGTGTAGTTATGTGTTTCTCCTCGTAAACGATATGTTCTTCTTGTGCTTGGTTGTTTGACATGTTGCAGAAAAAGAAGAAGAAAGAGGTCAAGCTAATTTATTGTGTGTATGTGTGCTGTCTGTTTAACATTGCGTTTTTATACTAAAAAAAATCTTTTGGTTTTAATTTTTGCTTTTTTTGCCATTTTGTAACTAAAACCTTAAATTTTGTGCTCCCAAAACCGGAGCTTGAGCGAGATTTGGGTCTCTGGATCTCATTGAAAGGGTTCAAAGAGCAAACCTGTCTGGTCCTGTGTTGGCTTTATCAAATTAGAGGTATAGTGGCTATTAACCAATTGATTTGATATGCACACAAAAGATAGAATCCAAAAAAAAACAAAAATAGAGAAAATTACAAAAGCTGCATTTTTTGTTGTTTTGTACATCGTTGCAAATTTGTTCCAAAAGATTCTGGATTTTGATTTCCAATTCAAGTTATACAGGTATGGAGAGACATAAAGTCTAGAGAAAACACAAAGCAGCTGCATCAAATGTACCATAGTCAAAGCGTTGAGACAACAATAGATCATCATGCAGTTTTCGAGACAAGACCCTGGGAAAGACTTTACCATTTATAAAACTATCTAGTTTGATTTTGCTACAAACTTTGCTGCAGTATTCATATGCTTGTGGTATGACACACGAGACATTCGCTACAGCCAAGTGCCGCTTGTCTTGAAAGCGCTCACAGTATATCGCTCTTTAACTCTCATATTCGACTGACTATGTACGATGGAGTAAAGCGCGCATTTAAGTATATTCACGCATAGCTTTTTTCCTTCAAAAGGGAAAGCAAGCAGATATATAGACATATAAATAGTCAGTTTGACTAATGTTGTGTAACTCGGTAAGCTTTCATCCAGTGATAGCTCATGATTTTTGTAATAAATGCAGCAACCTTGATCGCGATCTCAAAGTTCAAATCTGCTGCACATGTTTACACAGTGAGCGGAACCATAAAAAATATTATATATTGAAATTCTTTGTAGCCATGTAATACATGTATCTCAATGACCAAAAAAAAAAAAAAAAAAAAAAAATGAATGAATAACGACAAGCAAGGCTGCTTTTGTCTCAATCAAATAGAGAAGGAAAATTATACAATGTTTGATTGCTATTATGAGGGATGAAAGTACTCTGTACAGTGCTAAATCACAGTGTTTTGTTGAATTTGCAAGACATCAAGGGATCAACACCGAGTGAAAAAGACATTTTTTTTTGGATGTTCACAAGCTTGTATGAGGGACCCTAATTTCTATCTTCTGCATTCTGTAACTAGTCCAGGGACGCTAGCACAATATCCTTATTGTTCTGTCTTTTTCGTAGTTCTGCCCTTTTTTTTGGCATTTCTTGACTAAAATTACTTACTTGTATTACTTGTTAACCAAACATGATCTAGTCGAAATTCATAGCTATCAATGACAAAATTCAGCTCCATCAACAATGTAACTCCACTCATCTAGACAACCGTTCCTGGTGTAACCTGAAGTGCTCAAGTTATGTTGCTCTCTTCACTTGCTGCTCGGAGTCAACTGCCGTAAATTGGATATGGATACATGTTCCTGGAATTTGTGCTCCCATGGAAACTGAAAGAATGAAGACACTCGAAATAATACCTTGTTATGGTTTATACAGAACCAGGTAATCATATTTAGCAGCCTTTCTAAATGAATATTTGCTATCAGTGTGTGAATGCCACGATCTATATGTCTCAAGTATTTCCCCAGAATGCGATGTCAGCGTAAGCATAAATACGTTATGGCTTGTGGTACCTCTATAATTTGGGTGCTTCTCTTTGATGAGAATCAGTCCACACGGCGGCGGTTTGCGCTGCTGATAGTCTTTGCTCATCTAAATACTGTAAGCTTCATCCAATGCACTACTGATATTGACTTTTCCACTTTTCACTGCCCTGTGAGCACCCTCCATAACTGGAGATTTGACTCTTTTACGATACAGATAGATGGGATACTTGCTTTGCCTCCTACTACTCAAAGTATGCAAAACACAACGAAAATTTGAGTACACTTGACCAGTTTTTTTCTCTTTGCAGAAGCAGTTTTAAACTGCTAGAAAAGCACCAAACAAGTGCTCTCATCTAGCACTTGCTTACCGGCACCATTGCTCAACTTTTGCAGGCGAACCAAAACCATAAGGGTACCTCATAATTTTCATCGAAAATTAAACTAAAGACTTTTACTATGGCACATATTGAATCGAAATGTTTCTATCAACCCAAAGCAGCTCCTGAAACTACTTTTATGAGACCTTGGTATGAGAAATCTTGACATTTTGGCCATAAACCTCATTTCTTACGTTCAACCATTGCTTAATAAGCTACTCAAAACAACTCTGATAAATGATACCATTAGAAGCGTCTTGAAAAGTGCTATCAGAATGGATTAGGATTCCTAGGATGATCATCACAATTTATATAGTTGAATCTTGCTTTTTTTTTTAAAAAAAAAAGTTTACTGATTGAGCCGCGTACACTAAGAGTAAAACGTCAAAATGAAGAGACAGTTGCAATTGAGACAGAAGAAATGGATACAAGAATAATGAATAAGTACTAAACTATACTATACTAAACTAATTAAAACTAACTATATCCTTGGATGCTTACAAGAGGCAAAATAGTTCAAACAAGTCGAAAATTGACCCAAAGCCAACAAATAAAGGGGCGTATAAAATACAGCCAGAGATTTAACCTGATCTGGCGGCGGCTTCTTGCTGGCAAAACCAGCGCCTTGGCAATGTTTGCATGACTTTGATGTTAGGTTGGAATTTGAGGTTGAACAATGCTTGATGTTTAAGCCAATAAATAGAGTACACACCCATGTATACATAGCTTTACATTCGATCTTGAAATCAAACCCTACACTGGAATTTGGTGGTCGACTTTATTTATATTCTTTCTTTCTACATCAATGAACTGTATATCCTGTAAAAAGATGATGTCGTTGTAAAAACTCTACAAGACTCACATTTCATAGTTTCAAAGATTGCAAAGTAAATTCAATCAAAGTGCTCCAAACTCCTATCAGGAAGCATGAAAAACCACTACGACTCATGTAGCCTGAGCTGTATTAAACTTCCCATGATCAAATTCAAAAAAGATCAGCACACAAAACGGTTACACTCTATCAACAAATTGGGGGTTGTCGCATATTTCTTCCTAGCTGATGCTATCCAATTTACATACGTCACGGCGCAACAGCTGAACAAAGCAAGATAATGCATTTTATTTCCTCGTCCCTGCTCTCCCTTTCCCCTTTTCTTTCGCATTATGGATATTACCTTGAGCGAGGACTCTGTTACCACAGATCCGACTGTAGCGCGAGTCTACGCCAATGCAAGTTTAGATAGATCTCCAGAATATTATGACTATGACAAATTACAAGTCAATTGGGGGTAAAAACTACATTTTCATTTTGTAAAATCGACATGCATAACCTTTTTTTTTTTTTTTTTTTTTTTTTTTTTCTTTTTTTTTTTCGCTTGTAGTAATCAAGACGATTATGAAATATGTAGAAAAGTCGGCCGAGGAAAATATTCTGAAGTGTTTGAGGGTAGACATACACCTACTCACATTCGAGTCGTTATCAAAGTATTGAAGCCTGTAAAGAAAAAAAAGATCAAGCGAGAAATCAAAATTCTTCAAAATTTGGCGGGCGGCACCAATATTGTAGAGTTGTTGGACATTGTGCGAGATCCTCAGGTATATAAACTGTGTGGGGCAAGGCATATTCTATTCGGCTTATACTATTAGTCAGTCTAAAACGCCCTCATTGATATTTGAGCATGTAAACAACATGGAATTCAAGATGCTCTATCCTCGATTCACAGACTACGATGTTCGATTTTATATGCTGGAATTACTAAAGGCATTGGAGTATAGCCATTCACATGGTATTATGCATCGCGATGTGAAGCCTCATAATGTCATGATAGACCACGAGCATCGCAAGGTAAGAGAGCTTTCTTTTGACATTACGCACATGTTGCTTATCGCTCTCTATATAGTTGCGCCTGATTGATTGGGGATTGGCTGATTTCTATCTGCCTAAAACTGAATACAATGTGCGTGTTGCATCTCGTTGTTACAAAGGACCCGAATTGCTAGTGGATCTAAAATTGTACGATTATAGCCTGGATTTATGGAGTTTTGGGGCCATGTTGGCTGGTATGGTGTTTCGAAAAGACCCCTTTTTCAATGGACAAGATAACTACGATCAACTGGTTGTCATAACAAAAGTGCTCGGCACAAATGCACTGTACGCTTATTTGAAAAAATACAAGCTTACGTTAAGTCGGCAATACGATGGACTCATCAAACCGTAAGTAAACAGTTCTAGTGCTCGAAAAGCACCCTTTTGTGTTTAACAGCGAGGGCAATAGATGTAAGCCTTTACCATGGTCGAAATTCATTGGGCCCCACAACAAACGGTACATGTCGAGCGAATTGTTTGACTTCCTGGATAAGTTACTTAGATATGACCATCAAGAGAGGCTAACAGCGCAAGAAGCCATGGCGCATCCTTACTTTGGTAAGCATTTTGAAAGCATTCCATGGCATTGACTGATACAAACACATGCACACAGACCTTGTCAAGGAAAAGAAAGGCTATCAAAACATTTAATTTTCGTGGGCTGAGACATAAAATCTGAACTGTAGCACTAAATAAACAAAAGGGTTGGTTCGTTTCTCTTTTGCTCTTTTGCTCTTTTTTTTTCCCTTTCTCTCTCTTTGTTGGTTTTAACAGAAAATAAATTGTAAATAAATGCCTGAAAATCTACAACAAAAGCCCACCACTTCCATTGTACAAATTACCATCGATTCAAATGAAAATATCCCCGCTTATTCATCACCTAAAAACCAGCAATACCCATTAACAAACGCAACCATACCCCCTCAGTGTCTCTCTCAGGTGAGTGTCATACAGTGTGTGGGCTACTATAGCAATCCACTCACACATACAGACAGAATATATATGAAAATCTACATCAATATAATACACTGCAACAACAACAACAGACGTCTACGATTCACCCAGCCTCATTTCCGTCTCCTTCGCCTATGCCAAAAGTGTTGGAAGCTATTCAGAGCCTCCCACAGTTGACAAAGGAGTTTGAGTCGTTGTCGCCTCATACACAATCTACCACGCTATTCCACCTGCTGAAGCGTTCCAACAAAAACACACTCCAGCTGTTGAACTCTTTGATCATACCCATTCTCAAGCGAGATTTCCTCGCTTCTCTGCCTTATGAACTCAAACTCCAAGTCATTAGCTATTTAGACGTACAATCGTTATGCACTGCCTCACGTGTCAGCAAAACATGGCAGCATATTATCGATGGCGACAAGAACACATGGCAGCGATTATTAGAGAAAGGCGGCTTTAATTTACCAGCAACACATACAACAAAAGCTTTCAAAGACCATTACAAATACCAATACACATTGCAACTCAACTGGAAAAAGGGCCGCTTTAAACGCACCGAATTCCAAGGCCATACTGACAACATTGTTACCTGCTTGCAGTTTGACGAGGACAAGATTGTCAGTGGTGCTACCGATGCCATGATCAACATCTACGACACAAATGACCCGTCTCAGATGTATCAGTTGGAAGGTCATGGTGGTGGTGTCTGGGCTTTGCAGTATGTAGATAACACGCTGGTCAGTGGTTCCATTGACCGTACAGTGCGTGTCTGGAACATGCGTGAGCGTAAATGTACCCATATCTTCAAAGGGCATACCTCCACTGTTCGATGCTTGCTTATCGTTATGCCTGTTATGGTGAATGGTAGATTAGAACCAAGCCAACCCTTGATTGTTACTGGATCCCGAGATTTCTCTATTCGTGTCTGGAACTTACCTGATGTTGAAACAGAAGCTGAGCAATTTATAGGCGAAGGAGCTAATCCATGGTTCAAGTTTCTGCTGGTAGGACACACCAATTCAGTGCGTTCCATTGCTGCTCATGGTAATACACTTGTGAGTGGGAGCTATGATAATACCGTGGTTGTTTGGAATCTGGAAACCGGGCGCATGATACATCGTATGGAAGGACACACCAGTAATGTATATTCCGTTGTCATTGATCCTCCAAGACAGCAATGCATGAGTGGCAGCATGGACAGCACCATTTACATCTGGGATTTGATCACTGGCGAATGCTTACACAAATTGGACGGCCATTCCATTCTCGTAGGCTTACTCGGTTTGACTCGACAGCATCTGGTCAGTGCCGCTGCTGACAGAACATTGCGTGTATGGAGCCCTGATACCGGTGTGTGCGAGCATGTGTTGGCTGGTAGACACGGACACGAAGGCGCCATCACTTGCTTCAAACATGATGATGAAAAAGTGATATCAGGTTCTGAGGGTGGATTGAAGATGTGGGATATAAAGACAGGAAGATTTCTCTATGATTTGGTAAGCGACGTCAAAGGTGTTTGGTGGGTTACTTTCAACAAGAGTAAATGCGTCGTAGCTATACACAAGTAAGTTGCTATGAAATGTGAATAGACGTGATATCCATTGAGCTTTTTTTTTTTCAATTATAGCCAAGACAAGACCTCATTCCAAATGCTTGATTTTGGTGTCTCTTCTAAATAGCCTAATAATGAGCAGGATATATTTAAAGCTGTTTTTACAGATATCCGATTTTTTTTATGGTATTCAATTAATGTAGAAATAAATAAAGCTAAATGTTTGCTGATGATGCTTGTAAAAAAAAAAAGCCAAGACAACGAATGCCCTTTATTAATATGTGATGTTCTAAGGGAAGCCTACATGTTAGCATCATCTATACTCTTTAGACTGTACATATATATAAAACTTACTTGTGCTGCACAATGAGCTTTCACCTGATCAAAGACCTTCAACAACTTGCGTCTAGCGCCTAAAGCTGCCACCCCCTTATTCAAAAGAGCTTCATCATCCATTTTCAGCATGTCTTGCCATTTCATGCTCTCAAAAATAGGATTGTATTTATGTAAACGAAGACTCCTAAGCCAAGCAGGAATATCTGTATCAAATTGTTAGCTTTTTCTACTTGATGCTATCTGTTCTTGTACGTGTATACCTTCTAGCAAGTCCATGTCAATAGCATCGACATTCTTTTTGCTCTCCTTTGTTGTTGCAGCAGGAGTATGATTGCCACCACCACCACCACCATTTCGCAATGCGTTGCTGTTGTAATACCCTCCATTATGAGCGACATTATTTCCTGCATAATGTACCTTTTTCTTGTTGCTGTTGTTGTTATAGTAAGATTTAGATCCATTGCTTCGATTCGATGTATCACTATGGTCACTGTAATATCCAGTTTCCACTGACTCGTTGGTATTGATACGATCATTGGGGTTCAAAAATTGGCCAAATGTATGTTGTTGTTGTTGTTGCTGCTTTGGCACGGGATGAGTACTAGAACGTGTATTGGTGGACATGCTAAACAAATTCATCGATGTAGATTGCGAAGGCACAGGCGATGATTCGCCTGTCTTATAAAATGAGTCTCTCTTTTCATTATGGCCGAATAGTTGAGTCGAAGTAGACGGTGTGCTGACAGATTCATCGTACAAGGACAGGACAATATTGGCGGTAGTGGGATTATTCACAACAGGTGCAGGCGTGGCAGGTGGTGATTGCACATGATACTGCTCGTCTGCTGTTTCAGGTATGCTCATGGCAGTTGCACGTCTTTTGAATCCGTTGGTATCATCATTCAAAATGATCGAGGATCTGTTATTACTGCCATTTCCTCCTCCTCCTCCTCCTCCGCCTAAATTCCACTTGTTGGCCATCATGGACAACTGCTGATCCACTTCATTTTGCTGTTGTGATTGTTGTTGCTGTTGCTGCTCTCGAAACGTATTTACAGTAGGAGAGAGACCTGACCAAGGAGACACCAACGAGTCTTTACTACCATCACGCACACTTTTCGAACTAACTGAGGATGTCAATCCATACGACCAGTTGGAAATATCAGCTGATTTGGGTCGATTAGCGCCTACAGTAGCATTGGGTCTTTGCTGCTGCTGAGGCTGCTGCTGATGGTGCTGGCCGAAGCCTCCATAAGACCAGTCATTGGAGAAAATGGACGCATTGCCTTCGATAACAGATTTAGGTCGCGTGTTGATGGGATGATCAAACATGCCTCTATGCTGCTGCTGCTGCTGCTGCTGCTGCTGTTGCTGACTAGCATAGCTGTTTCTCAAAGAATAATCGCCAGGGACTCTAGAAAATAGATGATCGTATTCCTCTGTATCGCCTAGAGCAAATGAGTGCCTATCAATGTGTTGCCGTCTAATCGCATTGGCATTAGGTCTCGCAATAACTTGGCCTGTTTGATAGGGTAATACAGAAAGTAGTTTCTGACTGGCTTCCAATTCAGCCTTCTTCATAGCTCCTGTGAGCTGTGCTTGCATGTCCACTACATCATCACAGTCGTAGGCTATTAGATACCCAGGAGAAACCAGCATAAGTGCCCTGAAAAAACAAACCTTTCTCTGGATGTGTTGGTGATAACAATGCACCTACTGGGTCCTTTCTATCCATCTGTTGCAACACAGTGATAAAGAACCTAATCTGGACCTGAGTTGAATGCTGCAAAAGAGTGTAAATTGTTGCGGTACGCTCCGCTTCATTCAGGTACCGAAACCACTGATCAACATGTTGCACTTCTTCTTTATACTTGGGGTCTAGACTAGCTGTCGCCATGGATTCCAGGCTGCTTTCATATTGCTGCAAGTCTTCAAACCATTTATCAAGCACTTGGGCTAAAATGATGTGTGAGATAAAACAGTGCGGATCAATCTACGCAGAGCAAAAAAAAAAAAAAAAAAAAAAAAAAAAAACTTTACCTTCAGGAGAAATGAAACTCTCAGGCTTTAAGACCTCGGATACAGGCCTTTGATGATGTTGTCGATCTGCAGGCGAAAGACGAATATTGCTACCCATGTTGGGTGAGTTGAACAAAGCCATGTCTGGTGTCAAGTTGTTTGCTGTTGCAGGTGAAGCTGATGTGGGTGATTGTATCTTGGTGGATGTGGCTGCTGCTGCTGCTGCTGTTGTTGTTGTAGTAGTGGAAGGTGACGAATTATCAGTACTCAAAAGAGATGCAAATCTCCTTTGAAAAGAAGACATGAAGAGCAAGTGGATTTAAGTGCGTGTGTATACACAAAATTAAGGAGAAGAAAAAAAAAGAGAAAGAGATGAAAACAAGGAGGGGTTTAAAGATTTATCAACAACACATATTGTATACAGTAAAATGTACTACGGTGATTGTCATACAACAGAATACAAAATTGCATTCTTTGAGTCAACGGGACACCTGAAACACATTGCCATCAGATGATGCATTGGACCATTATACAGTGAGGTGCTCACTTGAGTGCGAGAAGAGATACTTGCTTGGCATTCTCATAAGGTAGAAACCTGATTTATGCATGCTCAGCACGGTCACCCGTTTTGTTTGTTTTGGTTTTGATCGCTCGCGTGTACTTCTAGCCGTTGGATAGGTACATCGTATTGTGAGGATCTGGTTATCATGGTGTGGCTGTATGGCGCCATGTTCCTCAACGGAATCACTGAAGTTCTTTTTTTTTTCAGGGGCAACTACTGAGTGCCGGTCGAAGCACAGTGTCATGGCACAAGAAGATATAGTGTAAAGAGGTTCTTTATATATAGTGTATTTAGCTGTAGAGAAATGGGCATGGACAAGGTCTAATTTAACATATTTCATCCAGGGCACAGCAAATACACATGGCTACCAAACTGAATGGAGAGATGCAACATTTAGTCATCTCTGTTCTGACACATCACACATTTCATCTTTTGTTAGCACTTACCATCCCCAACAGCAGGAATGATCGTTCTCCTGAGGCCTCTCTTGTTGAACGATGATGGTTTGTGGTGGTGGTCTATACATGTATGAAATTTTAATTTTGCCATTTAGCCTATGTGTAAACAACAACAATCTTGGCAAAAAAAAAAAAAATACACTTACGCTGGTTGATAGTAGCCTTGCTGACCTGGTGGAGGAGCACTGTAGTATTGACCGGGATCGCCTCCGGGTTGCTGATTGTAATAGGGTTGAGACATGATGTTGAGAAAGAGGAAGAAAGAAAGAAAAAAGGCTAAAACGGAATTGCTTTGGTTTTCTAAAGGTTTATATATAAATCTCGCTTTACAAAGCCGTGTAACACCTCTGCCAAAAGTTTAAAAAAGAATCGTTTTTTTCTGCTTGATGAAAGACCTTTTTGTTTGTAGGACATGGCTAGCAACACATGATGCCGTATCAGATATTGGGTAACCCTCTTCATAGACAGTTACTTGGCGTTTGCAAGTATACAAATGCAGTCAATCTACATGTGCGATCAGTACAGCAAAGTAACTTATAATGAGAGCTATTATCAATAAGTAAAATAGCTCATTTGATGTGTCAGAAATAGATGCTTAAATCTGAAAATGAGCCCAGCTCATTAGGTGCAGTTTCTTTTTGGCTTCTTTCCCTTAAAGTACTGTGATTTGATGACAAATAACGTTTTCTGAGCCTCAGTTTGTGGTTTATAGTTTCAAAACTATATACAAGATGAGGCTTGGGAAACCATTCATTCATGTCTGGTCCAGATGATTATGCCACATCTCCCTTTGTGATCTTTTGACATTTTACAGATAAATTCAAATTTGGAAAGCAGACAGATTTTGAAAAAGAGCAGCACACACACCCCGGATGTGTTGAGAAAGTCTCCCTCTTTCCTTACAATAAGCAAATTATGTTTACCACAGCCATTCGACGATCCATCACAACAACAGCACAGCGCCATTATGCTACTACACCGCAAGCATTTCACGTATTTAATCGTGAAGCAAAGAAGCTTCAGAAAGATCGTGCTGCCTTCAACGTGGAAGAGAGTCGTACGGTGGACTACCTCAAAGATGAAATAGCAGCTCGTGTAGCAGACAGACTGTTGGTAAATACACATAGCCTTTTTTTCTCTCTCTCTCTCTCAAGAGGGCCTTTAGCTTGACTAACGCACTCTTTTAGGACATCAACCGAGATTTTGATACAGTGGTAGATTTGGGTTCTGGATGTGGACATATTGTAAAGCATGCCACCAAAGACATGATGAAAAAACTAATCATGTGCGACATGTCAGGTAAAGATACAGAATACGAATCCATGCATTGTCTAATCATACTCATATAAATTTCAGAGAAATCACTGAACCGAGATAAAGATGTATCTTATGAGGGTAAAAATTTGTTCTAACACACTAAGCAAAAAAAAAAAAAAAAAAAAAAAAAAAAAAAAGCTATGGACTAATTTTCACTTTTAGTCGAGGTTGAAAGACAAGTGGTTGACGAAGAGCATTTACCATTTGCAGAGAACTCACTAGACGCCGTTGTCAGCAGTCTTTCGCTGAACTGGGTCAACGATCTACCCGGTGCATTGATTCAGATCAAAAACTCATTGAAGCCTGATGGTGTGTTTATTGGAGCTATGTTTGGTGGAGATACTTTGTTCGAGTTGAGAACATCGCTACAGCTGGCTGAAGTAGAGAGAGAAAGTGGCATCTCACCACGTATATCGCCTATGGCTGGTATGTTTAGTAAAGAGGATGTAGGCGCTAGTTGCATTGATGCCCCTCTTTCGTTTAGATTCAAGTGACATGTCTCGTATGTTGACTCGCGCAGGGTTCACGTTGACGACTGTCGATGTGGACGAGATTCAAGTGAATTACCCAAGTGCTTTCGAACTGATGCAGGATCTTAGAGCTATGGGGGAGAGCAATTCTGTGTTGTCAAGGTAAAAAAGAGCCTGTTTATGTTTATTTAATTTCTAATGTTTATGATTGTTTGTCTAGACGACCATTTTTAAAACGAGATACGCTTATGGCAGCAGCATCGATCTATCAGGGTATGACTTATTGCTAACAGCTTGTAAGCATTATACTTAAAAAAAAAAATTTACTGCAGAGCTACATGGTAATCCTGATGGAACTATTCCAGCTACATTTTCCATCATTTATCTTGTAAGTCATTGTTTGTATGGGCCCTATATCATGCCATTCTAACCACCACTGCCATTCTAGATTGGATGGAAGCCTTCTGAAAATACACCATTACCGAAAAAACGTGGTTCAGCCAACGCATCATTAAAGGACGTGTTGGAGGAAAAATAGATTTTGTAAATAAACTAACAGAAAGAGAGAAATGAAGTTTCAATTGAAATCATCAAATATGTGTGTGTATGTTGTCTCGATCTGTTTTCTGCACTGAGCAGGAACAGATAAACTTAAAATTGCGAGAATGTGTATAAAATGATGGGCGAGATACAGATGGGAGGATAGATTTAGATAGTGATAGAAAGGCTCTTTTCTCTCTCTCTCTCTCTCTCTCGCAATTGTTATTTTAAAAAAAATGAAACTCTCAGTAAGCATTGTGCTTACTGTAAGTCTCTTCCTGTCTTCTCGGCATCTCCAGGTACAAGCTACAGCGTCGTCTTCCATGAAAACATCAAATCATCTACTTGAACCCGTGGATGCCTCAACACCGGCACCTCCTTCTGTCTTCCCATCGATCCAGCATCCATTTCCTCCCGTCTATGCAGATCCAGAATTTAAGGCTGTCGTACCTACCTCGTCTTGGATCAGCAATCTATTTTATCCCAGTGTCAACAACTTGGCACCCACAACATCTGACCCTTACATCTTGAGGCTATTGGACGGGTTTGGTGGAAATCCCGGCTTATCCATTTCGCAACCTCATGACAAGGTAGGTGCGATGCGTTTACGTTTAGCTTGATGTTTTCAATACATATCAACACATCTCACTATTGTGATTTAGGTCATTGGATCGTATCCTGCTATGAACAACATTCCTCCTTCTCCCGCCGGCTATATTATCAATGGAGTAGTAGTAGATATTCGTCTCACTGCGCAAGAATGGACACAGGCACCTAAACCGCTTGTTACCAGTTGGGGCCATTTCAATGCGCATTTACGCTTATCTGGAAGCAATGGCAAAGTGGAATTTCCTCTCGTCAGAGGCCAATCGTTTATTACCGCCGCTTACACAGGTTTAACCCCTCAATTCTTCACACAACATGCCATCATCAGTGTTACTGCAGATCAGGTACAAGGCGACATGTATACAGGCAAAAAGTTCAAGATCTCTTTCAACGATAATCCTACCAGTACATATCTCATCTACGCATTGGATGGCCCTCTTACATTGACAAAGCGAGATATGAATAATCTGGTTGCTTTGAATAAATACAATGGCGTCATTCAAGTAGCAAAACTGCCCTCTGCGGAGGATGAGGCTCTCTTGGATGCGCATCACGGAGTTTGGCCTACTGCAGGAACCGTGGATACCAGTAAAGATGGGCAAGTGCATTCACAAAGCCTTGATTGTACACTACTAATTAACTACGCGCTGTAGGTCCAAGTATACCATTGATTGGCACAAGGCAGGAGATGTATCCAAACCTTTACTTACTTATGCCTATCCTCACCACATGAAGAGCTTCTCATTGCATTCCGTCACGAAAACCAACCTCATCTTGCAATCTAGTTCCAAAGGTCCTATGCAAGCTGTTATCGGTGATCAATGGGCTCTCCAGGAATCTGATTTGAGCCGCACCGAATGGTTTCCAGAAAGACCCTCGCCTGAACAATCTACTCACAACGAGATTCTGCAGCAGTTGGTGTCTGATGTCGAGAGCAACTATACGCAACATACACAGCGCGGCGATAATTACTTTTCTGGCAAGGGCCTTCAAAAGGTAGCACTGACAGCTCTTGTCTTGAATGAGCCTGATATCACTGGTCTCCGCAATCCAGAGTTGGCTCAAGTTGCCCTTGACAAATTGAAACAGGCTTTTGTGCCTTACCTAGAGAACCGTCAAGAGGACCCCTTCCGCTATGATCCTGTGTACAAGGGCATTGTTTCTCTCGCTGGCCTCCCTGTCGAAATGGGTGGCACTGGAAACAAGGATGCAGCGTTTGGCCACTCTTACTACAACGACCATCATTATCACCAAGGGTATTTCGTCGTAACAGGTAAGTCATACCACGCATACTTGAGTACTACTAGAGTGCACTGACACTTGTTTGATGAAGCTGCCATCATTCACCATTTAGATCCTTCCTGGAGAGCCCAAGAACTGAAAGCTTGGACAGAGACACTCATCCGCGATGTCAACAATCCTGTTGAAAACGACACTTACTTTGCACCATTCAGAAATTGGGATTGGTTTGCTGGTCATAGTTGGGCTGGCGGTATCAAGGTAGACGGCGCATTAGACGGTAGAGACCAAGAGTCTGTACCAGAGGTAATTTGGAACATACAATGTATTTATGCACGAGATACTTAACCTTCATGGCGCATACAGTCTGTCAACTTTTACTGGGGCACAAAGCTGTGGGGCCTCGCTACCAAAAACGTGGCCATGCACAATTTAGCTAATTTGCAACTAGCTATTACCAAGAGAACCACGTACGAGTATTTTTGGATGTTGGATGGCAACAAGAACAGACCCAAGCAGATGGTAGAAAACAAGGTGGTTGGTATTTACTTTGAACAAAAGGCGGATTATGCAAGTATCTCTCTCTCTCTCCCTTTCTTTTACACATGTAAAACATAGACTTACTCTCATTACTTTTAGACGACTTACTTTGGAAGATACCTAGAGTACATTCATGGCATTCAACAGCTTCCCATGACTCCCATCTTGGCTGAATACATGCGTACATCTGAATTTGTGTCTCAAGAATGGGATCAGAAATTAGCCAATGTAGCACCCACTATCAGTAGTCCTTGGGCAGGCGTTCTCTATCTGAATTATGCAACAGTCAATCCAGCCATCGCTTACCCCATCCTGAGACATATTGCTATAGACGATGGACAAACAAGGTCGTACTCACTTTACATGGCTGCGACCAGACCCAACTTTTACCGTCGATGTAAGTAGAGCCATCATGTACACATCTCGCAGGCTGCAACACTCACGTCTCTCTTTATACAGCCTTCTCTAAATATTTAAGGGAAAAGGCTAGAAAATTAAAGCTTTCCTTAAAGCATGATGACCCATGATGGAGTCTATAGAAAATGTACATGCAGATAAGCTTTACTAGCGTACCCACTTTTTATATCAATAAAACGCTCTCTCTTCTATTATCTATTCTAAAGGGCCTCTTTTATTTTAATTAATCTACAAACTCGTCACCCAACGAGTACCTTCTCTGCGTTGTTCTACTTGAATTGGAGGCAATGGCCAACTCTTGGGTCCAAAACTAGGCACTACATAAACCAACTTGCGGTCCTTTTTATCAGTCGTGTATTTGGGTAATGGGAAATCCAAAGGTCTTCCAAACGAGCAGAGATCCTTGCCAATCTTTGCAATCCACTTGGATTCCACAGCAGTGACACCTTTGAGCCACGTTTTGCCGCCCTTATAGAGTTCACTGTACACCAACATGGCAGGAGGCTCTTGACTATACAACACGGAACTTGGATGAATGAAGGCTTCCTCATCGCTCCACAGTAGCTTATAGACGACATTTCTCGAGTTCTTGTAACGCACACCTTTACCGCCACCTGTTTCCAACACATCTTGTCTAACAGCCACTGAATCAATGAAGCCTGCGGTCAGCACTTGTCTCAACACCTTGAGCTGAACGGCATTGGGAGGCTTCATTTTGGGATCCAAACAGACATCTACATCAGGAAAGTTGCTAGACACCAGATTGGTCAACTGACGTCTCAATTTGCGAATCTCCTCCATGGCTTTGGGTCTCAAAAAGTTGTCTTCGCAGAAAGAGGCAGTGGCACCAGCATACTCATAAGCACCTACGACGTTGAGTAGCTTCAAAATGTCGCTAGAGGGATCCAAACCAGCATGCTTCATTTGAGATGAATAGTACTTTTTGCGGACGAGCTTTCTTCTCTCCTTTTCAGCAACGGATTCACTGGTAATGTTGTGCAATTCGCGACGGCCAACATCTTCATCATCACTATCTTCAGGCTGATTCTCATCTAAATGGTAGTCTTGAATGAATGGGTCTCCAACAGACAGCGCAGACACAATGGCAATGACAAACGGCAAGCAGCCGTGCTGTTGTCCAATGATCAGCATCTTTGCAAAACGGGGTGTGATGGGGAACAACGACATGGTTTGGCCAAACTCTGTAATGCGCTTTGTGCTGGTATTGATAGCACCAAGGTAACCCAGCAATTTCTCTGCCTTGAACAAGCTCTCTCTGGGTGGAGGCGTAGGGAAGGGGAAATTGACGACATTGTCAATGTTCATGGACTTCATGCTCAGCACGACACCTTCAATGGGCATACGGTGGATTTCAGGCGTAGAGAACTTTTCAAATTCATTGTCAAACACGGCAGAAGAGAACAAGCGATAGCAGTGGCCAGGCCCTGTTCTACCAGCACGACCCGCACGTTGTCCAGCAGACGCTTGTGATGTCCAGTCAATCTCAAACGATTGCACACCGGTCTCGACGTCGTATTTGCGTTCCTTGGATTTACCACAATCAACCACATAGCGAACACCGGGAATCGTAACAGACGTTTCAGCCACATTGGTGGCAATGACGCAGAGACGAGTGCCCTCTGGAGGCGGCTCAAAGACACGCAGTTGCGCTTCAGTGGGCAGCATAGAGTATAAGGGAAGCACATGCAATGGCGCTATTCAGACAATCGAGTCAATACCAACAATGCCACTGACATGTCATCTCGCTGTGCCATGCTTACCATCCTTGACATCTTCCAGCTCTTCATCCTCAAAGCCTTCAGCAATGTCATCGTCGTCGTCATCATCAGAATCCAAATCAAAATCTTCCTCTACCTGATTATCACCCAACTCCAACGCTTCGTCTTCAATATCAGCTATGTAGACGACATGTCAGTATCAGGCATCTCGCACCAAGCATCGACTACACTACCTTTTCCAGCGGGCTCATTCACCTGCTTGGACTCCAATTCAATGGCTTGCTCTTCCTTCTTAACTTGTTTCTTTGTCGCCTTGGGAGGCAGCGCTGGGTATCTTTTTCTCAACTGTTTGCACAACTGATTGATTTCATTTTGACCTGTCAAGAATACCAAAATGCCACCATTAGGCAGACGCTCGTGGATTTTCGTAATCTTCTTGTACGCCTCGCCTACATGGTCCAAGGGAGTCTTTTTGTTGAAATGAATGGCTACAGGGTATTGTCTGGCATTGACGTTGATAACAGGAGGCACTACGGGAAACAGAGTCTTGTTTTCAGTGAAATCAGACACACGCAAAGTAGCAGACATGATGACTACACGCAAAGGCTTGATTTTGTCTCTGTCTTCACGACTCAGTTCAGCTCTCAGCTTGAGCACGCGACTCACAACACCAATCAGGATGTCCGTGTTCAGGTTGCGTTCATGGGCTTCATCGATAATGATGGTGGAATACTTTGTCAACAGGAGATCTTGAGACATTTCACGCAACAGCACACCATCTGTCATAAACTTGATTCTCGTCTTGTCAGACACAGTGGCGTCATAACGAATTTGATGCGATACTTCTTTATCTGTCAGGTTCAATTCTTGTGCCACACGCTTAGCCATGCTCACAGTGGCAACACGACGAGGCTGTGTCACACCGATCAAACCAGGATTATCGCTGTCTGGATGAGACCAACCTGCTTCGTATAGAAATTGAGGCACCTGGGTAGTCTTACCAGAACCTGTCTCACCACAGATAATAACAACTGTATTGTTGCGAATCGCTTCCATGATGGTCTGCTCCTCACCACACACGGGCAGTTTGAGACGGGCAGCTTGAATCTCAGGTGTGCGGTTGACAGACACATAGAATGGCTTGGCTACATCCTCTGCCAAATCGCCTTCACGATTACTCTTGAGCAGTTGCACCTTGATGTCATCAAACTCTTCCTCCTGTCGTTGAGGTACATCCACGACAATGTGCTTGGCTGCTTCTGTCACAGCTTCAATTTGTGTTGTTCCATCCGTCACCACCTCATCCAACAAATCAGCCACCTTTGTGTGTTGTTGGGTTTGTTGCTCGTCTTCACTGTCATCATTTCCTGAATCAGAGCTGTCAAATGAAGAATCAGATTCCATGCCCTTTCTCTTCTTGTATCTCTTTTTCGCAATCTTGGGAATCGTGGATTGCTTCTTTTTTCGTTTACGCATGACAAGAGGCAGCCCACCTGCTAATGCACTGCCTACCACAGGCTGCTCTTTGGGCGCTTCAGCTGCATACACAATCTCTGGCATGGGCGGTAATTCCTCAATCTCTTTTTCGACCACTAAAGGTACACTCTCATCACTGATGGCAACACCAGCTTTCTGTTCCAGCATGGCTTGTCGCAATTGTTCACGCAATGTTTGTCCTGATCTACCGATCAGTTTAGAGGATTTGAGCAAGTCTGAAGACCAAGAGGCAGTTCTATACAAGTCATATGAGTGTGCAGGTTCAGTAATAGGATGGCATCTTACTTACGATAGTTTTTCAATCAAGCCGGCTCTGGCATCCTTCTTCAATTTTTGTTCCTGTCCAACCAACGCATTAGAAGGGCACATTCCAACCTAAATCCAGGTACAAAACTCACAATGTATTTCTCCATCTTCTTTCTCTTCTTTTTCGACATGTACTTTTCAGGCTAACCATTTCAATGAGTTCTACTGCTGCTGCACATGCTAGATATCATGCAATCTTACCTCTTTAAAGGACTCTGTCAATTTGGCGTTGGTGCGCTCGTTGGCTTCGCTTTTCTTTGATTCGCCGGGAATAATCATAAGTTCATTAGAATCACTACTAGACAAGTCAGTATGTGGGTTGTTTATTGGGTGGCATGATGGTTAATTACCCCTCATTACTCTGCTTTTGTGCTGTTGATGTTGTTGCTGTCGATGGATCGAATGCTTGCGGTCCTAATCCACCATCTCTTGCCTTTGGATGAGGTCGCTGATTGGGTTTTCGAGAGGATGCTCGAGCTTTCTCATTGAAACGAGGTCTTGATTTTCCCATTGTTGTATAATAAAGTTGTTGATCAAGAAGAAAAATCAAATATGCTTTAATTTTGGGTTGGTTTAATGTGACACTTTTTACTCGCGGACTCGATTGTTTTGATGGATTGGGACGCCACACTCATATTAAATGAATTTTTTCAAACAGTAATACTCAAGCACCTTTTTTTTTTTTTTTTTTTTACTTGAATACACACATCATGTCTACTGCCAAGAACAAGAAGGAGGATTTATTCGGTCTCGAAAACGACACTGAGGAAGAGGACGTATCTTTGGACGAAGAGGAGCAAGAAGATAGTCGTTTCTCGGCAGCTCGTCTTCAAAAGCAATCTCTTGACAGCGATGCTAGCGATGCCAGCGATGCCAGCGACGACGATGAAGAAGATGAGGATGACGACAACGATACACAAAACAAGGCCGAAGACGAAGCAGAGATAGAAACAAAGGCCAAGCAAGACGGCACTGATTCTTTATCAGACAGTGACGATGATATGGAGAATGAGGAAGGATTTGATGCGCCTGAAGACAAGAAGAGAAAGAAAAACTTATCCAAAAAGCTCAAAAAGCTGACACCTGAAGAGCTGGAAAAATTTGAGAAGGCCAGAAAGAGAACTGGTGTTTGCTACTTGTCTCGCATTCCACCCTTCATGCGACCCAAAAAAGTTCGATCATTGCTGGAAAAGCACGCAGAAATCGGACGCATCTACCTCGTTCCTGAAGACGCCAAGATTGCAGCACGCCGTAAAAAGTACACAAAGAACAAGCGAGCCAATTTTGTTGAAGGATGGGTTGAGTTCAAGGACAAGAAGCGTGCAAAGGCATTAGCTGAATATTTGAATACGAGACCAATGGGTGGAAAACGAACAAGCCCTTATCACGACGAATTGTGGAGCATCAAATACTTGAACAAATTCAAATGGCACAACTTGACAGAACACATGGCTCATGAGAAGCAAGCTCGCAAACAGCGTCTTCGCAACGAAATTGCTCAAGCTAACCGTGAAAACAAGACCTATATTCAGAATGTGGAGCGCGCCAAGATGTTGGAGAATATGGAGCAAAAGAAACGCAAACGTGAAGCAGCATCTGATACCAACACAGCAAACGAACAGAAGCCACAAAAGATTCAAAGAACATTTGCACAAAGAGCCAAAGTGGATCGCGAAGTGGATCCTTCAAAGTTGGGCAAGAAATCACTTGACAAGGTGGATCCATCTGTAAAGAGCATTATTGGAAACATCTTTACCAAGAATTAAAAATACCGCGCCCTTTATATTCATGCTCTTTTTCTTTTTCTTCCCTTTTTTTTTGTCTACATAGTCTTATATACATATATCATCACCATGCTTCGTAGAGTACTCATTCAGCATGGTCATCATTTGCAAATAAAACGGTCTTTTATACATACAATTAATCATCCACAGCAATCACCCAGCTACATCAAGCCGTTGCTGTTTGGCGCAGTCTCTTGCACCACTATCTTCTTCACAGCTGCTTGCATACATGAAAAGGAAAAGGAAACCATATGGCAAAAGCTGAGGAAACAAGCTGGCAACACATTACGCGACATCATTACAGACGACAATTTGGTTTGGTCAGATGTATACAAGGAGAAGAAAAAGTTGATACGAGAATATCAAAATCAAGTTTTACAAGATTTGCAGCAAAGATTAGAGCAATACAATGCGCTCCCTGTGCAACTTAAACGGCCATTGTTATCAACAGCTGAAACTGCTTTCTACATGCCCGAATCTGAAAAAACAATCGCTGCACTCATATCCATCAACATTGCTGTATTCGCTTGCTGGAAAGTCCCTGCCCTACAGAAATACATGACTCGCTACTTTTGTCATAATCCTGCCAGCAATCGGCAATGGACTTTATTCACCAGCTGCTTTTCACACCGTAATGCGGTCCATCTGACAGTCAACATGGTTGGCTTATGGTCTCTTGGTCCTGTCTTGCATGATCTGCTAGGAAGAGAGCAATTCGTGGCGCTGTATCTGTCATTAGGCATCGGTGCTAACGTCATTTCTCATCAATTACAATTGATGGCGAGACATATAGCAGCAAGACCCATCCTACCTAGTATGGGCGCAAGTGGCGCTTTGTATGGCCTGCTGACAGGCACAGCGTATTTGTACCCTGATGCAGTTGCATTTGTTGCATTATTACCTTGGATACCATTCAAAATCACGTATGTTGAATGACGCCACTATGATATCTAATGATGGACTTATATATGTATCTAGGTATGCAGTGCCAGCTTTCTTGACACTGGATGCAGCGGGAATTTTAATGCGCTGGCGCATGTTTGATCATTTTGTATGTACTTGACAAGAGTTAATTACAATTCTCATGTTGACATTTATTTTGAATAGGCTCATCTCGGAGGTGCGTCTCTAGGCATCGCTTATATGCAATTTGGTCCTAATCATATGTGGCCTTACATGACCAACACCATCCGTGAGTTAAAGAAATCCGTAGGTAATGGTAAAGGGGGTAATAATAACGGAGGAGGCGACAAAACATCTGGCGCATTAATGGAAATGCCTGAAAGAATTCGTGCGAAATTACTGGGCAAAAAGACGGTTGCTGTTCCTGACAAGCATTAGTGGGCTAATAAAGACACGTTTGATTAAATTTGTATTCATTTGAGCTGAATAATTGCCATGCCAATGTCGTCTGTTCTTTGCATAAATCGCTGTGAAAATTAAAGCCAGCTATTTCTGACTTTCAATTTGGGTGACACTCCATACGAAAATCTTCAAAATGAAATTTTTTGAAAAACTTGGATCTACAACTTTTTTTCAGGATGGCATTTTTATTTCGCAATTTTTTTACTCATACTATAGAAACTACTTTGGAGACTTTATCCGTGTTAATTTGAGAGCTCTGGCTCCTCCCATCGTCAAGAAATCAGCGATTTAAAGTCTGCATCAAATTTGCAAAATTGCGATTTACTGCAAATTTTACTAAGCAAACTGTATTCTAACTTGTAAGTAAACCTGTTTAAACACATGGTAGCAGTATAATTAACTACTCATTAAAGATAGAATAACCTATTAGGAAGATGAAAAGTTAATAAAACGTCGAAAATGTGACTAAATCACATACAACACTAGCAGCTTTTGCATGATTTTGTGCCAAGTTTCACTGTATCATATAGACTGTATTTACACACACATTTTAAAGTTTGAATTACAAGTAAATACCTACTTTTGGCAGAGTAATGTCAGAATCAAGTTACAACCCTGTTTTTGGACCCCAACCCTCATGCCAAAATGGCATGTTTTTTAGAAACACTCAAGATGAGCAAATTTAATCCTGTTTTTACTTGCACATCCAAATAATACAACAATTTTACTATATATTTGGCTAGAACGGCTGCTATGTGACCTTAAAGATTGTTGAGAAAATGCGACAAAACGACTACCGTTTGGCTCATATTTGACATTCAATGCCTGAGGTGTAAGCGGCGGCATGCCGGTACTCTCTCATTGGTTGGTGTCTTCCACTAAAAAAATTGCCTGAACCCAATGATTGCATTGTGTTTCTTCCCCCCTTTTTTTAAAGAACGAAATTATTTATCAGAGAATACCAACACCAAAGTCGTAAACCCAGACTACCTGAACCTTACCTCGTCATCAAAGTGGATTAGTTATACTGGATATCAAACTACAACATGATGCTCTCCACTTCCGTTGAATATAGTCATTGCTGCAATTGGATATACCTAACTCCATTTTTATCTGTGCTCTCCATGCAAATCAACAACTAGAAGAGGACAGAATTTCATCAACTTTCTCTGCTCCTAGCAAACTGCTCGCAAGAGATTTACCAAAACCCGACAGGCCGATACCATTGACACGCGCTACAAATCTACTGCTACGCTACCTAGGGATTAAGATAGCATTACTATGAGCCACGCCACCGGTCTCAAGCCTTCTCTGCAGACAATTTTGTACAAGATATCAACATGATGTGTACCACCACCAAATCGGTTTGTTTATCATGCAAAACTTTAATTTGCCTATTTATTCTTATCAGTTGATACCACACACCACACACGCTTCTTTTTTCTTGTTCTTCTTTATCCATAACAACAACACGAACGAGAGAAAATGACGCTTCTACCTCAAGATTACTTACGCACACTAAAATCCATTCGTGAAAGATGCTTGCAAGTGTATGAAAAGGGACAACGCGGTGAATTAACTTGCTTTGAACTACACCAAGACGCATTGCCTGCTATTGTAGACCATGTCACTGAAACCACGCAACGCCGGTACCCAGATCTTGACAAGATACCCCCTCATTCAAGACTGAGGCATTTTGATGCTAAGCAATTCCAAGCATTGCGTGATCGTTGGCAAGAACAAGGCGTGGATGCAGTTGAACAAGCACGTCGATTGATCGATTTGGTTATTGTGTCTGTACTTGTGGATGCTGGAGCAGGTCAAGCCTGGAAGTACAAGGCAGTAAACGGAGAGCTTGTCGGAAGGTCAGAAGGTCTTGCTTTAGCTTCTTTCGATATGTTCTTGGAAGGCTATTTCTCTAGCTCGAAACAAGTGCCTGATCGTGTGGATGGTACGTATATACACCTTCGTGAGAAAATTTACTCTTTGTCGACAAAATCTTGTTTCTTTTGCAACAACAAATACAGACTGCTTATTACCTTTTATTTTCATTAAACAGTGAAGGGATTGGATGCCATTACTCTGCAACGCATGACGGATGGCTTTCAAGTCACGGATGAGAATCCTATGGTAGGTTTGGAGGGTCGATCCAATCTGCTAAAGAGATTAGCAAAGGCTATAGAGGATCAACCTACCTACTTTCCCTCCGTCAATGGTGAGCCACAAAGGCCTGGCAACCTGATTGGTAAGACGTACGCATGCATACCCAAATGGAGCCTCGAATGTTGACTTGACGCATTTTAGACTTTGTGTTGTCCTCTGTCGAACACAATTCTCAAACCAAAAATGTACGCATTGAAAAGCTATGGGAGGCCGTCATGAGCCTTGGAGAGATGTGGCCTGCGCGTGTAAAGATCAATGGTATCCAACTAGGCGATGTTTGGCCTTGCGCTTCGTTGACTGATTTGGGAAATCATGAGAACTTGGTTCCTTTCCACAAGTTGTCTCAATGGCTTACTTACTCACTCGTCGAAGCTATGGAGCTCTCGCTGGGCATTGCCATTGAAGGCATGGAGCAAATGACAGGCTTACCTGAATATCGTAACGGCGGATTACTGGTAGATTATGGACTTTTGAAGCTGAAACCTGCACAAGTAGAGCGTGGCACTGTCACTCCTGGAAGCTTACCTACATTTGAAGGTTCTGACCCAGTCATTGTGGAGTGGCGTGCCTTGACCGTAGTGTATTTAGACAAGATCAAGCAAGGCGTTGAGGACAAACTGGGCTGCAAACTGCAATTGGCTCAAGTGTTGGAGGGAGGTACCTGGACAGCAGGAAGAGAGATTGCCGCCAAATTGAGACCCAAAGATGGTGGGCCACCTATCGTGATCAAGGTAGGTTATTATACACTCGCATAAATCTAGCGTATCTTCTCACCTTGTCATGCAAACAGAGCGATGGAACTATCTTTTAATCGTGTTTTTAACAATTACGTCCAGTGTGTGTAGGTATTTGGACACATACTTGATTCTTGGTTCATCATCCAATAAAAATGGCAAGTATAAACCTTGCCCTTTTGTCTAAGAATAATCAATTTCAGCTGCCACTTTTATTTTCTCCTTTGACGAGCATGTTCAGGAACCAATTACCAAAAACAGAAATGGCCGTTGGTTTGACAATTGAAATGCTCGCTGTATATAATATACCGAGAAACGCAAAGCCTACTCATTACTCAAACAGTTGATAGAGAGTAGTAATAGATTTGCATTCCGTGAGTCATTCCTCTTGATTCAGTTAGAAAATCTTGATATATTTTTATTCAAGTGCTTATTCATTAATTATATTTCCTTTCTCTCTCAAATTTTACAAAGATGAAGATTCTGCCATGGTCATTGATTTGCATATCCACAGCTGTTTTGCAACAAATTGCATCTGCTCAGATCTACAGTAATAACCTCAGTTCATTGAATGTAGCCATTGGAGAGGAATTAGACAATACAGTGTTAAATGCACCCATGCTTCGTGCATCCGATGACGTAGTAAGTATGATTGCAACTTGTAACATACAATAGCTCAAAAATACAATGTAGCAACGAAATAATATAAACAGCATGGTCTTGTATTGGGGCCAAGGTGATTTTGGAGAAAAACGGCTTTCATACTACTGCGATCAAGAGGGCGTCTCTATTATAGCAATTGGATTTGTCGTTGATTTCATCGGAGGACCCAAAAAGTCGCCCATTTTAAATCTATCAGATAACTGCAACAATGTGGAGAACTGCGTTGAAGCAGCACAGGATATCAAGTACTGTCAAAAGAAAGGCGTCAAAATACTCATATCTGTTGGGGGTGCAGTAGGCCCTTACCACAAACAAAATTGGGATCCGGACCTTTTTGCTTGGTGGATGTGGAACAAATTTTTGGGCGGTTCTGATACAACTGTTGCCAGACCCTTTGGAGATGCTATTCTAGATGGTGTAGACTATGATCCAGAGTGTAAGCCCTGACCGAAAACATTGATACCGAAATACATACTGACATGGTATGTGTATAGCTGTCGACGGCGTTGGCTACGATCGCCACATTGATACACTTCGCCAGCTATACAAGACCCAATACCCACCTCGCGAATACTTGATTACAGCTGCACCGCAATGTCCAGATTTAGACTATTATTCTAAAAATGCAGTATACAACATACTTCATCCAGCACCCAAATATGATGCCTATCCAGACATGGTATTTGTTCAATTTTACAACAACTATTGCTCTGCTTCAGCATATCAAGCTAAAGGGACAACCAAATTCAACTTTGATGTGTGGGATGTATGGGCTCAACAACGTACCAAGGGGAAAACAAAAGTCTTCCTGGGTGTCTTGGGCAAGGACAATCATATGGATACTGGCTATGTTACTTATGAGAAGCTTACTGTAATTTTGGATGATATCAGACGCAGCAAAAGCTTTGGTGGTGTGATGATTTGGGATGCGGGCTATGCATACTCCAACACGGTGCAGTACTTGAATGGCCTTACATATGGACAAGCTACATCTAAATATTTGGAGCAATTAAGCAGTGGCAGTGCAAAGACAGCCAAGGCATTCGATAGCATCAACATGGCATTCAAAGAGCACAAGGTCCCTGTTTTAGTCCCTCTTGACAGCAACAATACTGATTTACCCCCGCCACCTGTTCCCTGCTCTGGCCTATCATTCCTGCTACTACGCTCAGTCAGTGCCCGTGTGCTGGCATCTGCTTTTGGGTCTTCTCCAGATTCAGTGGACCAGCATCTTGAATCTATCGGCATGGATGGCGATGACCCCATCAACCCAGGTTCTCGTATTTGCTTAATATCCAACACCAACTCGAATTCAGTTGTTATTGGATACGTCTATAATGCCTCTATAATTGATGACCAGGACTTGTCTGGCTATTACTCATAGTACAATTACTCCTTTGACCACATACATATATAAAAAGTTTATATTACATACAAATCAGCCATGTAATGCAGGCAGATGGTAAAATTTTCAACCTTCTCTTTTTCTTGTTTGATATTTTCTTCATGCTCTTCTATCAGCCCCCTCCTCTTTCTCTTTCGCATTTACCCACTTTCAATTTTACTAGCGCAAGATCAGGATCAACAAGACATGAAGTTTTTCAAGAACAAAGTAAACAAAAGAAAGCTAACTAAATCACTCACAGAGACAGCACTGATAGCGCCAACTGTCCATCAGCACCATAACAATAAACCACTTGCACCATCTCCTTCTCTGATATCAATGCCACAACAAGCACCCACTGCTGCCATGGCAGCAAAAGACTTGGAAGCAACCAATAGCGATAGTTGGCTTGAACTGAACCTTCCAAACGACTTTTCCAGCTCATTTGATTTACCACAGCTCCAACACCACCAAAGCGAAGCAACATCAAGTAGTAAACTTGAAGCCAACGCTAGCAAATCAGCCAAACAAGGATCAGAAAATATTACGGAGACCTCTTTGCTCTCCTATCCTGACAATCATATCGACACAACCACTCATAATGAACCAAACAAACCTGAAAGCATGAATAAGGCGGCTGCAGCACTGGAACTACCAAGCAACTCGACATGTAGTGCCGTAGATAACGGCAACAAGCAAGACGAGAGGTAATGTCCTACCTTTCAGCATTACAAAAATGATAATAATAATAATAATAATAATAATAATAAGCTTGTTAATTTTGTTATACAGTATAAGTCCCTTGCAGCCAGCTGAGAAACAAGGAGACACACTTTTAAATGACACTTCTCGTGATGCGATTGTATTGGCCAATGCAACACTAATTCCAACTGATGATATGCAGCATATTAAGCTGGAAGAAAGAGATGACTTGTCAGAGGTAAAAAATAGCGTAGAAGAGGAACAGGTAGAGGAAGCAGCGGTGGGATATGATGACTTTTTGGCTGCATCAACATCAACAGCATCAACTTCAGGTTCAGCTCCATCATTGATCGAGCAGGATAAAGACAAGGCAATAGTGATTGAGCGAGGGGACAATACAGAGGAAATGAAACCATCAAATTCAAGTATATCAACAGAGACACACGTATCACAAGTTGCATCGCCTGTGGAAATGTGTAATGTCCACAATGAGAATCTTGATGATTTAGTGATAGCAGAGTCCCCATCTCGCACGACCTCCTCATCACCACTCAAAATGATTCCACTGGCAGCAATAGGGCTATCAACACAAGCAGCTTCAACAGAGAGCTCTCCACAAGAGTTGCAAAGGGAAACTTGTAGAATTGCCAAGCGAAAATCAGCCGTTTCATTGATTCCTCGTAAACAACAAACAGCCCATTTACCAGATGCAACTGTCAAGAAGGATGGCAGACGAGCGTCAAGTAGTAGTTTCATCCCTGTGCTTGCTACTCGACATCAACATCAAAACCCCACTATTTGTTCAATATCAACTAAAGATGGATTGACGACTGTGCCGGTTACCTGGAGTCCATCTTCCTCGTCAGAGAGAAACTCAGTATCCAGTGGTAGTGCAAGCAGTTGCGGTAGTCAGTACCAGGAGAAGAGAACATCTCTCATTGCCAAGTCAAGTGCAACTCAACAGCAACTACTGCAGAGCAAAATCCCCAAGGCCTCCTTTGGTATGTCCCTCACAGCCAACACAGAAATCTCCAAGGCGTCTACAGTCCAGCAGCATGTGAGTAGACTACCAACAAAGCGAAATTCAACACTGGTTTAAAAATATGAATACTTACATAATATGAGCACTAAATCATACAATAAATAATGCGACAAAAGTTCTAGTCATTGACCGTGCGTGTAAACAGTGATAATGTGTAATCAGAATGGTAGAAAGCAGTTGTGTAAACTAATCAGCAGCCCTGATTGTTGCAATCTCCAAATCAAGAAGGGAGCACTTTTTGCTCAAGACACACGGACACACACACACAAGCAAAAATGCCATTGTGCCACTCCAGATCTGACATGCCAATCGCTCTCCTAGATAAACTCTCTACCATGACAATATGTTTATTTCCTCTAAAAAAAACCATATTGTGCTGACATGTTATTTTTTAATGATGATAGGTAGATTAGGGGGGGGAAAAATATATAAAGACTTGAATGTTTTTTTTTTTTGAATGAATCGAATTGTGGTGCGTTTTCTTTCCTTTCTCTCTCTCTTTCTCTCTCTCGTTTCTTGCTTCTGGCGGTTTTCTCTTTCTTTAAATACATAATCTATAGCTGACATAACGACCAGCAGTTTCACTCTCTCTTAAAATCTTGACAACCTGTCATTTCCCGCAAGAAAAAAGGTCAATATACGAATAACTCATTACTACTCCTTTACAGTCAAATTACCTGTCCACGCTTCAAACCATAATATCTTGCAACGGGATCAGTATGTTGAATACGAGGTAATTGAGTTTCTTTTAAGCGGCTAACAAGCGATTGAGAGACAAATTAGCATTCCCACTCTGCCTTTGGTTCTCCAAGTACTTACTATCTTTGCAACAAGGTTGCCTTCTCCTCTGTACTTAAAACTTCATGCTTGGGTACCAAAACGTGATGTGTAATGTTGACTAATAACTCATTTTCTTGGAATGATTCTAAGGTGTGCTTTGAAGGCAAGGATTGGATGACCTTGTTGGCTGAGGAAGTCATGCTCTTTTGGTAAATACAGATGCCCTTGGGGATTTGTTGTTGTGCCATACGCTCGACGTAACTAAAGAGTCATTGTTAGTTCATGTCAATTCCACACACGTCCATGCTCAGCTCTATTTACACTCTCAAAGGCTTGACACCAACAGATGTGTCTTTGGGAAAAAAGACGAGCAATTGATCAATGGGGTCATCCTTCTTTTGTACAACAAATGTCAATTGGTCGCGACTATGTGAAAAGATACGAGGTTAGACACTCCACTGTGCTTTGCTCTCTACTCTGTCACTAGACAAACCACGTACTCGACATCACCAGATGGGGCGAATGAACGTTTGAATGAATCCAAATCCATATCGAGTTCTGATTGAGAAACGAGATAACCCTACATGTTCCAATGATTAATCGCCTTTTGCCAACTAGAAGAGTTTTCAGCAAGGGAATCTTTACTCTGTCATGAACCATTTGATGTGCAGTGCGGAAGACTCTCCATAATCTAGTGGCTTCGTTGTTGTTGGGATCCATGATGTGCTGTTGTTTGTGTTGCGATTTGACGTTGGTGATGAAAAGAGAGTAGAGTGGGAGAGTTCGAATTTTTTTTTCTCTGACAAAAATGAGTCGAGCTCAAGGTGAGTGTGTAGTGACTGTTGGACAACATGAGCCACTGGGCTGTTTGGGCTGCCATGATCACAATAGACCATAACATCAATGTGTGGACGACTGCTTTTCCTCTCCGTTGGATGAGTGTCTTCCTTGGGGCAACTACCATAGAGAGTGCCCCTATGAAATTCATGCCGTGCCAACATGCCTAATTCACACTTTTCTTCCCACATTCTAACTTGAGATCATGCAGTTCGGTTTCAGGCCATCCAAGGGCCTAACGTTTACTGTATTGACCATACTACAGATATTTGGTCTTTACATATTCCTCAAAGGCTTCTTATTAACACATCAAACATTTGATCTACAAGGCCAACGATTTGAACCATGGCAAGACTTTCCTCTCACGCAGCAGCACACTCCTGTAAAGAAACCCACTACAATTCCATCACAAAAAGGATTCAAGCGCACCGTGATTGTCTTGATTGACGCACTGCGTTTTGATTTTGCCATCCACGCGCCAACTGCCACTACCAAGGCAGAGGAGTACTATCGCAACCAATTTCCCATCATGCAGAAACTCACACAAGAGCAACCCGCTTCGTCATTGTTATACCAGTTTCGCGCTGACCCACCTACAACCACCATGCAGCGTATCAAGGGCTTGATGACAGGCTCTCTGCCTACATTTATTGATGCGGGCTCGAACTTTGCGTCTTCAGCTGTCAATGAAGACCATTTATTACGCCATCTTGCCAACAAAACCATGTACTTTCTAGGCGATGATACATGGGTCAATCTGTTTCCAGAGAGTTTTGTCAAAGAGCGGACATTTGACAGCGACAGTTTCAAGATGCTCGATTTGGATTCGGTGGATAATGCCATTTTGGCTCGACTATGGGAAGTATTAGACAAGGACGACTGGCAAGTAACCATTGCGCATTTTCTCGGTGTGGATCATTGCGGACACACGTATGGGCCATCCGATCCCAACATGAAGCGAAAGCTAAACCAAATGAACGACATTGTAGAGCGTTTGGTGTCTGATTATGTGGATGAGGACACGCTCTTGGTGGTGATGGGCGACCATGGCATGTCAGTGGAGGGTGATCATGGCGGAGAAAGTGTAGAGGAGCTGATCAGCACGCTATTTATGCACTCGGGCAGACCCTTGACGTTCACGGATGACTACTATCAAGCGCTCTACTATCGCATCCATGAAACAAGAGCACTCAGACTTGGGTACGATATCGCTAGCATCTCGCAAAGACTTGGTTACGATGCAACATCTTATCCCGTTGTTGCTCAGATCCACATAGTCCCTTCATTGGCTTATTTGCTCAACGTGCCTATTCCCTTTGGCAATCTAGGCGCTCTTCTTCCTGATACACTGATGCCCAAGTATCCAGATATCCACTCCAGGATGCGCAACGTTCTCCATATGGTACAAGAGTTCCGTACCAACGCCTTGCAAGTAAAGCATTATCTTGATCAGTACGCTCAACAAACGCATCAACTGGATTTCTCGCCTGAGAAGCTCCAATTCATCACACACCATTTGTACGCTGCGGAGGACATCATGGCACAGCTCATGCAGACACCTGATTTCTCAGACAGCATCCAGAAAGATCACTCGACTTACTTGGAGCAATTGGAAGAAGCCATCTTGGAATACGATGCCTTCTTGATCAGCACCATCAAGTATTGCAAGGCTATTTGGGCTCAATTTGACACTGGCTGTATGTTTGTCGGTATCGTGTTGCTGGGATTCAGTACGCTGGCCTCTTTGTGGCTGATGCATCGTGAACCGAGAGCGTCTTACAGTCGTATGTCCCTGGTAGGCGCCTCTGTGTTTGTTGCTTGCTTGGCCGCTTCCTGTTTGCGGTATCAATTTCCCGAGGCGTTGGTCGCTAGAGGATGGTTTGAAAAGATGGAGCAAGTGGACTGGGTTGGCGCTTGCATGGCGGTCGCTGTGTGCTGTATGGCATTCACTTTGCGGCCTCAAGGAGCAGCCTCATCCGACTGGTATGTTATCATCATTGCTCATATTGTGCAAGCATGTACACTGGGATCAAACAGCTTTGTCATTTGGGAAGACCGCGTTACTCGCCATGTGCTGGCCACTCTGACCTTGGCTTGGATCGTTCGCAATCTGCAGGTGGCCATTACAAAGACAGATCGTGCTCTGGCTCTCTTGTACCCTATTTTGTTTCTGATCGTATTGCGGCTGACCAGTGCTATTGGTCAGTGTCGCGAAGAACAGTTCCCTTATTGCAGTTACTTCCACAGCGGTATGCTCGAATTCAATCTGGAAAACTACACGGGCTATGGTACTATTGCATTTGTCATTGTACTCTATGGCATGGTGATCTTTTCAACAACCACCTTGAACCAAATCGCTGGACTGACCATTGGCGCCTGCTATCTTATACCCTCCATCATGGTCCTCTTTAGAATCTTTTATGAAATTGGTGCCAAGTCTCTCAAAATTGAGCAAGGACAACGCGAAATGCCGCTGATGGTGCATCATGTGCTTGATGTATACATGCCTCGCGTCGTGTATGCCTTGACCTTTATTGGCAACAACATGATTTTGGCAGACTGGTATTTTAATAGTCGCCCTCGTCGTATCATGAGTTGGGCCTTGTTCTTCCTGTGGACTCCCTTGTTGGCCGTCGTTCAGCGTCCTTTAGGTGCTGCTCTCATACTTGCCTCACCTTGGATTATCAAGTTGTTGGCCACTGGCAAATCCAACAGTCTGCTGATTCGACTGACCATGCTCCACTTCTTGGGCCATCACTTGTTCTTTGCCACTGGACATCAAACTACTTTTACTTCTCTGCCTTGGAAGGCTGCATTTGTAGGGTTCGAGGACATGAACTACTATGGTGGTATGATCTTGGTGACACTGGCTACCGTAGCAGGCTACATTATCACTTGGTTTGGCTGGTTGGTCCTGCTGTCTGAAAACCCTCATCAACGTCAAACATTGCACTTGCTGATATTGCTGCAGTCCATACCAACCTTCTTGAGCGCCATCTTTATCTTTGTCCTAAAGAGACATTTGATGACCTGGAAGATCTTTGCCCCTAGATTCTTATTCCAACTATTATTGCAAGTGAGCTCCCATGTAGCTGCAATCATCTTGGAGAAAATTGTAGAATAGCTTCTATTGCCAAGTACATGACCATGTATATCAAAGATGAAACTTGTCTTAGCCATACATTTCAGTATAAGTCAAGTCAGTCATCTGAACCAAATAAAGCCGTTGTTTTTGGGGGGGCACCTAATACCCATATATTGAAATGGATTTGCTCCATAAAACCAGCATCTTTTTTTTTTTTTTTTTTTTTTTTTTTTTTTTTGAAGTCATAGTATCATCAAGCGTGAAAAGCTTAATGGTCGCTCATTGACATGCGGAGGAGATCCCAGCCAACCAAACTCGAATCAAATCTAATCTCTACCCAACTACATTTAGAAAATGTGTCATCAAGGGTGATGAGTCACACAGCTACATTTGATAAGAAAAAATGAAATATTAATGTTCAATTTCACATTGGGGTTTACTTTCTTTCTTTCATACATACATCTCAAAACAATGTCTTCTCCTTATGTCCTCAACTTTGGTGCAGGTCCTGCCAAGATGTAAGTCTACTCTGAAAGAAAAAGAAGAAGAAGAAAAAAAAAAAACAAGGCGGGGATAGTCTAAACAACCTGATAATTTGATCTAGTCCTCAACCTGTCCTCGAGAAAGCCCAAAAAGAATTTCTCAATGTCAATGGTACAGGCATGTCTGTCATGGAACTCTCTCATCGTTCAAAGCCCTTTGGCGCCATTTTGGAAAAGACCAAGCAAGATCTCACAAAACTCATGAACATTCCAGCAAACGACTATTCCATCTTATTCATGCAAGGTGGCGCCACTACTGAATTTGCATCTGTGTTTTACAACTTGGTTGCAAAGAAGCAACAAGAACTCAAAGACGCTGGCAAAGAAGGTGAGGAAATTGTAGTGGATTATCTCGTTACCGGTGCTTGGTCCAACAAGGCAGCTCAAGAGGCTGAACGTTTGATCCCCACTGTCATTGGAAACCCTGTGCGAGTGAATCGTGCACTGGATGTCAAGAAGCTGAATGGAACATACGGCGCCATCCCTCCACAAACTGAATGGCAACTGACAGATCCCAAAACTAGCAATGTTGCCTATGTTTACTACTGTGATAACGAGACAGTGCATGGTGTTGAATTTCAATTTGTTCCCAAGGTGGATGCCACTGTGCCTCTGGTGACTGATGTATCCAGCAACTTTTTATCTCGCCCTATCGATGTATCTAAATTTGGCATTGTATACGGTGGCGCACAAAAGAATTTGGGACCAGCTGGTGTCACTATTATTGTGATCCGCAACGATCTCTTGGTGGATCTCGGAGTGGGACCTATTCGTCCTCTGATGCTTGATTTCAAGACTGCTGCTGACAATGATTCCATGTACAACACACCTCCTACTTTTGCTATTTACATGGTAGGCTTGACTTTGGAGTGGTTGATTGAACAAGGTGGCCTGGAGGCAATTGATCAAGTAAACTCTCGTAAGGCTGAAACGTTGTATGCTTTCATCGACGCATCTCAGTTATACAAGAGCCCTGTTGAACCTCACTGCAGAAGTCATATGAACGTTGTATTCCGTTTGACTAGCGAAGAGTTGGAGAAGGAATTTTTAAAGGGTGCTGAAGAGAGAAACATGCATCAGCTCAAGGGACATCGCTCAGTGGGTGGTGTTCGTGCCTCTATTTACAATGCTCTGCCTGAGAAGGATGTTGATACCTTGATTGAATACATGAAAGACTTTGAAAAAGCACATGCCAAATAAATAAAATTTGACAGCTGTCATCGAGTTACCATAGTATCTCACTGTCTCTCTGTTTTTCTCTTCCAACGCGAACTACTATTGATATGAACACCAGAACATGCAATGAGCTTAATAAGGCTGCCAGAATAGATTCAGACGCAAGTAGCATCCTTGTTTTCTGGTTTTTTTTTTAGGAATTCTCTCTACGTGCTCAATTTGCTTGAATTATGTCACATATGGCGAGAAACGAAAAGATTGAACAAATGTATATCAAAGAGTACAAATGCAGTTTTTTGTAAATCATAGCCACTTGAGCATCAGTTTGATTCGCATCAACACAAAGACTTGGAATTACGTCTCTAGAGAAAGACATGTGCTAATGTGGCTTCTAATATATCTAAGCAACAGCTCTCTATTCTGCTTCATTATGTCACTCTGCAATGAGGGTCAATAGCTTCCGCAACCAATCATTAGTGCCTGCATATCTTTACAACAAATAGGTGGACATGTCCTTTGTTCCTGGCATCTGGAAGCTTCTGCTGAATTAGCTCCACTGTTGCTCTATACCACCCTTTTTTATTATATACCCAAAACATTGGCCCTGTCATCAGAGGAACGAGGAAATCATCTCAAGAATCATGTCATAATTTGACCCCTCATTTCATGCATTTTACACACTCTGATTGGTGTAAAATCTTTGATTTGAAAATTAGAAAGTTGTATCTCTTTGAGATTTACACGAAACACCAATCAGACAAAGAGAGCATAGAAGATTAGACTTCAAGTTTCACAAAAGAAGAATAGCTAAAGAATGGGGAGGAAGGGGGTCTATAGCAGTAGGTTACAAAAAATCAAACGTCGAAAAAATACCAATGTTAGGCACCCCCTTAGGATCATTTCTCTTTCTTCCTTTCTTTTCTCTCTTTTTTTTCCACTATCTGTAAACGTTTCTAATGGACTCTGTGAACAGCGCCAAACAACAGCAATACGATGGTTTGTTTTCTTTTCTTTTTTGTTTGATAATGGACAGTGCAAACACTAAAAAGAAGACTCATGTTGGTTAGTAGGGCAACCTACTGCTGCTCCTACTACATCATCATTATCAGCAGCTGGTAATGCAATCACAACAAAAGAAACGAGGTATGTATGCGATCGGCTCTGCTAGTTGACTATCCAACACGCTCCTCTTATTAGGCACACTGCCAAAGATGGTAACTACCACCACCAGCAACACCAAGAAGAGACGGAGGAAGAAGAACCAGCAGCAGAGGGTCTTTTAAGATTGAGAGAAGATGATCACCATCACATTGATCACAATGAAGAATCATTACATAGTTTCAGATTTTCATCCTCCAACACATTTAGCATCAGAGAAGAATTGTTACAAAAGAAGAAAAGGCTACATGGGACATTACCAGGTCATTATGCAACGTCTGAGCTGCTCGTCAACAGGGCAAATACCAGAAACAAGACCAAAACAGTGGGCAGCCCCATCATATCATCCAAGCATCATTTTCGCAAGTCCACTCAACTGGCAGAATCGCCCAAGCGATCTATATCCAATGGCTCCAGTCAGTCGTCACATACCACCCAGTCCACTAGCACGCCTCCTACCACTGAAGACGAAGACGATTACGAGGAAGAAGAAGAAGACACCTATGTCCCTCACTTGCACAATCGCCTCAAACAGCAAAATCAAGGCATTCTTACTACCTATGACGATTGGCGCATCATCTTGACAAACAGCATTGCACAAGATGTGCTTGTGAGCCATTTACACCACAAAATGAACGAAGAGCAAAAACTGATACTTGTTGGTAAATCAGTCATGGATTTAATCGAACCCTCTTACCAAAACCGGTTAAAATCCATCATTGTGAAACGAAGACATGAATTAAAACGTCGTGATGCCGAGCAGAATGAAGCTGGTATGGTGTTGGTGTGCGGCAATGTGGTAATGTATACGCTGCTTACAGAGAGAGAGAAAGAGACTCGCCTAATGCCGCCTGTAGATACCCATCATTAAATTAGACGGCACAAAGTCATCCGCTTCTCTCTGGCTCAAGGAAAAGATCAATGAATCAGGCAACTCGGTGTTTATATGGATCTTTGAGGAGGTGTACGAGAGTTCAATCACACTGACTGTGGATCAGCAAGGCACCATTGAATCAACATTATGCGAACAGGGCGTGCTGGATCTATACGACTACAGCGCACTCGATATCATTGGCAAGAAGCTGAATTTCCTTGTGCCCAGCCTAGAGATGCAACCAGCGTGGCAAGACAGCATCAACAAGCTTCGGTTCTTTGCGAGTCAAACCAAACGAGGCGCACAATTCCCCATAATTGTACGCTTACTGGATAATTTCACAGTCCAGATCACTTCGATGCCAGTGATCGCTGGTCTGATGACCATACAATCTGATGGTATAATTGAAGGTTGCAACGATATATTTGTGAAATATTTGTTTGGTTTTTCCCAACAAGACCTTGTTTTGAAAAAGAACATTTCACAGCTTTTGCCTCAATTCCCGACACTGTTGAAGAACCTCAAAAGAGACGATTTACTACAACAAGGACTGATTATCAACAATACCATTTGTAGAAAACTGTTGCCTCTGCCTGAACAGTGCAAGATGGTGAACAAACGACTCTTAACACACACACCCAACAATCAACCACTGCCGATCCTAGTGGCTCTTCACAGAGACGGCACTCCATTTGAGGTCCAATTGCAGCTCAAACTAGTGGAATCATCCAAGCAGCACAAGGAAGGCGAGGAAGAAGACGAATACGCTCTTTGGATCTCATTCGATAGAGAAATTGCATTTAAACGGTTTGGGCATCATCACCTTATTTCTCAGGCACCACCAGAAAAGGAGCATGAAAAGATTGCCTACTCCCCAACTCGTACCGTTGTAGTCATACCACCTCAAGCTGAAAACAAGACCAAGAGATCGCCATCGGTCATAAGCACATCACATGAGGACACACAGCCTGAGCAGGATGCTGACGAGGGAGGCGGACTCAAGTCGCCAACATCAACGCAAGACATTATCTATTCCGCACAGACCAAATCAACGAGCATTGATGATTATGTGATACTAGATAGCCTCGGCCAAGGTGCTTACGGCCTGGTCAAACTGGCTGTAAAGAGAAATGACCCAAGTCAGGTAAATTACCCTATATGGTTTATCTCTGGATGCTGGAGTAAACTAAAATAATTTATATAGACAAACGTCGTGATCAAGTATGTTATCAAGTCTCGCATATTGGTGGACTGTTGGACAAGAGACCGGAAACTCGGATCCGTGCCCGTCGAAATTCATATACTCCATACGCTTAGAAAATACCCTCATCCGAACCTAGGTGATATGCTCGACTACTTTGAAGACGAGGACCACTACTATATCGTCATGGGATTGCACGGTGGCGGTATGGATCTCTTTGACTACATTGAGCTCAACGATCATGGCATTCCAGAGCAGGAGATTCGCCGCATATTCAGGCAGATTGCATTGGGAGTGCTCCATTTACATCAACACAACATTGTGCATCGAGACATCAAGGACGAAAATGTGGTGCTGGGCGATAACGGTGGTCTACGATTGATTGACTTTGGCAGTGCTGCCTACTTGAAGCCAGGCAGAAAATACGAAACGTTTGTGGGCACCTTGGATTATGCAGCACCAGAGATCCTACGAGGACACACCTATTCAGGAAAACCGCAGGATGTGTGGGCACTGGGTATTCTATTGTTTACACTTGTGTATCGCGAAAATCCCTTTTACGACATTGATGAGATTATGGGAAGAGAATTGAGAATACCATTTGTACTATCAGAAGGTTTGTTTTACTTTGTACAACGACAACAATAGCAACAGATTTATTTATATAGAGTATAATAGGTTCAGTTGATCTTATCAGCAAAATGCTGGAACGTGATGTAGAGAAAAGAATCGATATTCAACAAGTGCTGGCACATCCTTGGTTAATGTAAAAAAAAATAAAATATATATATGTATAAATAATACTAGATTAAAATCCTCTTCCAATACCAGTCTTTTCCACAATATCCTTCATAACACTTTGTTCCTCTTCGCACAGTTCAGGATGAACATACAATAAAGTCTTGGGTTTAGCTTCCTTGTTGGACACGCATCCTTTGGCTAATGAAGGGTCGTTGATCATCCAACTAGTGAAAATACGGCTGGCTGGCTCGATCGCATCTACAGGCACGGTTGTTGTGTGATCTTTGGCAGTGAAAGAGAGTGTATGGATGGTTAATTCTTGGGGAAGTTGTCCTTGAGCTACTTTTTTAGGGATAGTGATCTTTGTGACATAAGGTGACATGACCCATTGAATCAAACCAGTAGAAGCTGCACTGGTAGCCACCGCTAAAAAATTTTTGTCAATTGAGTGTGATCTATACCAGTTGTATGCACCTTACCTACGCCAACAAGTGCTGCTTTAGCTACAAAAGGCACAGGCACATCAATAGCAAACACAAATGGAGATATACCACAACCGAGGCCCAACGAAGTGATGGAGAACAATTTCAATTTTTTGGCTACATTGGCCAGGGGTCCTGTATAAATAGTAACTGGCTTCTCTTCATCTTGCTTTGTGGTGGTAAAGTGCCGAGTTTTGAAGGGAGCTGCGACAGACACCACTCTCAAGGGTGATTGATGTACAATAGCGGCTCTTTTTAATGCGCTGCTAGTATGTCTAGAGAGTCTCAACATGTAAAGTAAATAAAGAAGATGATATTGCTGTCAGGCCAAAAAGCTGAGCTTGACATTTTTTTTTTCTCTAAAAATTGCCCACCAAGTCCGCTCGAGGACTACTACGGTACCTGAATCAACCTGCTTGAGAAATTGTGTCTTTAAAGAGCTTATACTCTATGGGTATTGCTCTAACAGCCATGGTTCTTAGCGATTATATACTCGAAATAACTCAAAGTATCAGGTGATGTGTTTTTCCAAACTTTTTTTTTTTTTTTTTTTTTTTTTTTATGTGGGTCAGGTTCACGCACTTCAGTTAAAAAAACAGCGTGAAAAAGTTACATTCTATAATTATCCACATGGAAGGTTGGAGGTGGATCAGAGCTTTTCTCATGCACCAATCACTTTTAAAGTTGGCTTCGTGCATGTGACTTACCGCAATGGAACATTAGCAACTTAATAAATATCGTAATCTCTATAGCACATCATCGATTTCATCAATATATTCTGAATAAGAAGATGTACAGAACAACTCCTTTTTAGAGGCATCATTGATTGCCCTCAGGGTATAATACACGGCATCGACTTTGTCAGCAGCCGCCGACTCCAAATCACACTGAAACTTCGTCCCGGTTCTGCTCAAGATTGGCCAGATCTTAATTAAAATCGACTTGATTTCTCTAATTTAAAGGATTCAACTCTATATGTCGTGATGACGTTATATATCCTAATGCACTCTTAGAGTACTTTTCAAGGCGCAATCAATAATGCTAGTTATGAGAGGTGTTCTGAACAAACTTGCCAGGCAATCCTTGAAAATGCGAGCTGCTCCTAACGCGAGAAACTGCTGCTCATGTGTGCCATGTAGCTAGTATGCTGTCTGCCTGTATGTAAACTTTTCTTTTTTTTTATATAAATACGGATCATCATAGGATACACTGTAACAAGCCCTTTATAGAGCTCTTGTGAAAAGTGAAGTTGTGAGACATTAAATTTATGCAATGAAATAACTGCGTTAATATGATGAGCAGTTATTTGAGATTTTATTTATATGCAAAAGGGGGGGGGAGGGGGAGGAGGTGTTTGGAAAAGAGACTAATTCTATAAATGGTGGACTAGATGATATGTATGTTGATCTAGTTAGTTGGCATTGTTTTAGACTCCAACGTAGTAATGGATATGCTCAATGAACTTGGTAGTGCTAGGTGAACTTGAAGCGATGCGATACTCTTTGTATTTTTAGAGCTGTTATGGATGAGTAATCTACTAGATTCAGCATTGCCAGTGAATGATTGCATTGTTGTGGTAAAGGCTAATTGTGTCAGTTTCACGAAGCCAGTGTCTTTTGCGGAGAAATGAGTTTTAACGTTCATCGCTTTGGCCATCGTCCATGTAGACCGGCCTTCAAGTCATTATGTCTGTTTGAAACTATTAGTTGTGCTCATGTAGACTATGACAGGCACCATACCAGGACAGAAATATGATTGGCCGCGTTGACCCCGTACCTACTTTGTTGCAAACAATAGCTCGACATGTTTAAAGAATTTTAATTCGATGAATAGTCGCAACAGAACCATAGTTTTTATGCTGGATCTACCTTAAATTGGGTTGAAAATAAGATCTTTCACTTGAATTTTTTTTTTTTGTTATTGCTCTTCATAGTTGAGACACATGCAACAGGATATGAAAAAGTGACACTCTACAGAAGTAACACTATATGAAAACTCGGTTTCATGACACGACTCACATTACCAGCAGGTTTTTAGTACCCTTTTGTTCAGCAGTAGTGACCCCCTTATTTGTATTATCGTCTCCACGTTTCACCATATTCCACGCATGAACTGGCAGAGACCTCGACAATCAAAACGGCTTCTTTATTCAAATCATTTGGCACCTACAATGCAGCCATTCATCTATTATCACCTTGGTTCCTCCATTGTTCAGACAAGAATCGAGAAAATACATGGTACAGCTCACATAACGTCCCATTGCCATCAACAACAACAACAACAACATTGATATCGACTACAACCTGAAAGCCATGTCGAGTGCCATAAACAAATGTTACCAGCTCAACAGCGAGTCAATCGATTGCTGCTACCAACAAAATACAGTTAATTATGCCCGTCTTATGGTGTCATATAATAGTCATGAATCGCATCCTTCATAAGCTCAACCAAGACCATCAAAACCAATCAAATCTTGACGCGGGTAACTGCATACAAGATCCACATGAATGGCAAATGTGTCTATATACCATACGCCATGTCATGTATACCGCCTGTATATAGTCCAAATTTTGCTGGCTTACACCAGTAGTCTTACTGTTGATTGTCCAGACGTTTTAATTCATTGTTATCATTCTTCATTTTAAACGAATAAAAGAAACGAAAAAAAAAAGTGTGACCTATGCTTACTATACAACAATCATCCTAGCCACTACATGATTTGGTCGAATGTTGTAGCATTTTCCAGGATCACTCTGTATAAGTCAGCACAGAGAATGGGCCGTTATTATATGACATGTTGCTTTCCAAGCATAATGAATGTGTATGTTTGTGTGTGTGTGTGTGTGTGTGTGTGTGTGTGTGTTTACAGCCTTGCCCAAAATCTGATTTTACAAACTCAAATGGTAGCCGGCCAACGAAAACTGGCCAAATATGATTATATTGAGTGCTGCTCCAATTTCCCTCTTTCTTTTTCTTTCTGTTTTACAACAAAAATCATATCAACAGAATGAACTTTGACGAAATTGAAGAACAAGTGAGTTCTTACTTGAGATGCAGATACACACAGCAGCCTACTCACCCTTTGCCTTGTCTGTTCATTTAGGATGGTATTCGTTTCTCCTGGAATGCTTGGCCATCTTCACGTACCGAAGCAACCAAAGCAGTTGTACCTATTGCTTGTTTGTATACCCCCTTGAAGGAACGCGAAGATTTCGTAGAGAGCCCAATCTGGTATGAACCAGTTACTTGTAAAGCACCTTGCCGAGCCATTTTGAATCCATACTGGTAAAGTATAGAACTTGTTGCTTCTAGAAACGTATATTACCTCATACACTAACATACATATACAATCAAAAAGCCAAATTGATGTTCGTGGTAAACTTTGGATTTGTCCATTCTGTCTTCAAAGAAACGCGCTTCCACCTCACTACAAGGATATTTCAAATACCAACCTTCCTGCTGAACTTTTACCCAAATACACCACCATTGAATACAACTTGAACCGTGTCGCTCAAATACCACCCATCTTTTTATTCGTTGTTGATACTTGTCTCGAAGATGAAGATCTCAAAGCTCTCAAAGAGTCCTTGATTGTCAGCCTGAGTTTATTGCCTGAATATGCTTGGGTTGGTTTGATTACATTTGGTACTATGGTAAGTGTTGTGTGCGTGTGCGTGTGCGTGTGTGTGCATGAAGAGATGCTTATCGACCCACTCTTAAACCTAGACTCAAGTCCATGAATTGGGTTTTGCTGATTGTCCCAAATCCTTTGTTTTCCGTGGTACCAAGGAATATGCTGCAAAGCAAATTCAAGAAATGTTGGGATTGACCAATAATCCTGCTCGTCCTGCTGCAGGTCAACAGCCTAATCGTCCTGGCCAACCTCCTCAAATGACCATGGCTGCCAACAGGTAAAAAAAAACCCCCATAGTGAGAGTTGTGTGTATATGTGTGCACATGAGTACTGATTGCTTTTCTTATAAAACAGATTCTTGCTTCCTGTCAAGGATTGTGAGTTTGTCTTGACATCCATTTTAGAAAACCTCCAACGTGATCCTTGGCCCGTTGCTGATGATAAGCGTCCCGAGAGATGCACTGGTGTGGCTATGAGTGTCGCTGTGGGTCTTTTAGAGACTACTTTCCCCAACACAGGTGCCCGCATGATGTTGTTCAGTGGTGGTGCTGCCTCCGAAGGACCTGGCATGGTTGTCAGTAATGAATTGAGAGAGCCTATCCGTTCTCATCATGACATTGAAAAGGAGTCTGCCAAACACTACAAGAAGGCTACCAAGGTAAAATACTCAAGCAATAAGCATATAGGCCGTAAAGATCACTCATTCAAAACTGACCTTGTAGTTTTATGAAGCACTCGCCAAGAGAGCTGCCGTCAATGGCCATACCATTGATATATTTGCTGGCTGTCTCGATCAAATTGGTTTGCTGGAAATGAGATCCATGGTCAACAGCACTGGCGGTTTCATGATCTTGGCCGATTCCTTCAACACTGCCATTTTCAAGCAATCCTTCCAACGTATTTTCCAAAAGGACAGTCAGGGCCACTTACAGATGGGATTCAATGCTACGATGGATGTGCAAACCACTCGCGAATTGAAAGTGTGTGGTATGATTGGCCATGCCGTCTCTGCCAACAAGAAATCATCCTATGTGGGTGAAACTGAGATTGGTATTGGCAACACATCTGCTTGGAAAATGTGCTCCCTCAACCACGAAACCACCAACGCTGTTTATTTCGAGGTGGTCAATCAACCCTCTACTCCCTTCCAGCCTGGCTCCCGTGGTTTGATTCAGTTTGTCACGCATTATCAGCACTCTAGTGGCCAGTTCCGCCTTCGTGTGACTACGGTTGCTCGTAACTTTGCAGAGGGACAAAGCCCTGAAATCGCCAATTCATTCGATCAGGAAACCTCGGCAGTCTTGATGTCTCGTATCGCTGTGTTCAAGGGAGAAATTGACGATGGACCTGATGTATTGCGTTGGTTGGATCGCATGTTGATCCGTCTCTGTCAACGATTTGCTGATTACCGCAAGGACGATCCTCATTCCTTCAGACTGTCTGAAAACTTTTCTATTTACCCCCAATTTATGTTCCATTTGAGACGCTCTCAGTTCCTGCAAGTGTTCAATAACTCACCCGATGAGACAGCATTCTATCGCCACACACTGAACCGTGAAAACGTCGACTCCTCACTCATCATGATTCAACCTACGCTCACCTCTTATAGCTTTGACACAGATCCTCAACCCGTCTTGTTGGATTCCATCTCCATCAAGCCAGATGCTATCTTACTACTAGACACCTTCTTCCATATTTTGATTTTCCACGGTGAGACTATTGCACAATGGCGTAAGGCTGGCTATCAAGATCAAGAGGGTTATGAGAACTTTAAACAATTGCTGGAGGCACCTGTCTTGGACGCTCAAGATTTGCTGATGGAGAGATTCCCTGTTCCACGTTACATTGACTGTGATCAAGGCGGATCTCAAGCTCGTTTCTTGCTCTCCAAGCTGAATCCTTCTACCACGCATACATCTGGTAGTCCCTACAGTGCAACTGGAGGTGCTGTTGTCCTGACCGATGATGTCAGCTTGCAAGTCTTTATGGAGCACTTGAAAAAGTAAGTATCTTGTGTGTTTGCGTATGTAGAGCATGTATTGACTGACACTGTTATTTTCTTACAGATTGGCTGTAGCTGGTGCTTCCTAAACACACGATGAAAGGATTCACTTATTTTTTCTTTCACTCTTTTTTTAATAATTTCTCTATATACTACTTTTTTTTTTTTTTACCTAGTTTACATTTAAAAAAAAACCCTCCCCCCCCCCTCCCAATAAACACGCTTTACATGTTATGATAAGCAGTTTGCGGGAATGAGAGAGCACTGACGATTTGGATTTCTATTGCATATTCTGTAACATTTTGAGCGAATTGTTTGTTGTGTGCGTATGTGCATTTCTCCAGATGGCATCTCATGTAGCACAAGTCTATTTAGTGAAGTGTAATAGATCCGTCGATAGGCAAAGCTAAAATGCCTCTCAGATCTGACATCTAATGCGCGTATCTTATTCTGCAGCTGGAAAAGCATTCGCATTTTATTACTAAGCTAGGAAACACAGTTTGTATTTGGATTGTTCGTTTGAAGAGATCTCAAAGCCAGGAGAGCAATGCCAGTCAAATGGCAATAATAGCGTGAAATACAAGTTTACTTTTGTGTGCCAGGATATCGTGTACCTTGCAGGGCAACACTATGTTTGTAACAAAGAGTTCATGCGCGCGCTGAAGTCGTATTATATTACTAAAAACTCTAAAAGTGCCGTCTTCTCAAAATGCCGGTTGTTCATGGGTATAAACACGAAAATAGATGATAAATTGAAAATAGATAGAATTACATGTTTATTTTAGAAAAACAAATTAATTAATGACAAGAGCGAGACAAGCAGCAATAGCAAACATCAAACCACCAGTATAGGTAAGGGAATTAGCGTTACTGGGAGATTGAGTAGAAGCAGCAGCAGAGCCAGAAGCAGAAGCAGAGCCAGAGCCAGAGCCAGAAGAAGCAGTAGAGGAACCATCGGCATTGACACACATGCTGTTGTTCCAATTACCCACATTGTCAGCAAGAGTAACATCGATACATTGATACAATTCGCCATCACCACCATTATACACCACTTGAATCGTAGCATTAGCACCTGCCTTGGCTGCCGCGTTCTTGCTTAAATTATCCAGAGATAAACAAGCAGCTTGAGGGTAAGAACGAGAGCCAGTGGCGACTTGAACATTGGCAGTCGAGTTGGAGAAATCAGCCGTGGTAGGTGCGTTCTCTACCAATAAGTTGACGACGTAGGAATAGGAAGTATGGCCAGAACTGATTTCAACAAAACCGCCCTTCAAAGGGAATGGAGTACGTGTGCCAACAGTATCGAAGCCACCACAAGGTGCAGTGGGTTCTTTGGTTTCGTCAAACCCACGAGAATTGGGATAGGTGATAGTGTAATGAGCAAGCACGGATTGAAGAGAGACAAGCGCAACTACAAGAACTGCAATGCAAAGACGTTGAGACATTTTTCTTGATTAGTGTAATATAGAAAAAGAAGAAACAAATGAGGAAATGAAAAAAAAAGAGGCTGTCTGCTTTATAACAAGATGGAAGATGGGGGCCCTTCTTCTTTTCGTCCCGCCCCTGACCCCCAGCTTCCCCGCCATAATTCATAGTGTAACAAACACTAGTAGTCAACAATGAGAGGTTTTAGCTCGTATGCTTGAATTGATTGGGCCAATGCGCTTGTGTCTATAGCAGCAGTCTCTCTCCCCTTTTATATACGAGCCCAACAGCAACTCTCTTTCCTGCGATTTAACCCCCCCCCCTTATTCTCTATTACACATATACAAGATGGATATGATGGGCCATGATATGAGTTCGCAGGAAACACCTGCGAACATCAATGAACCCTATGCCAAAAACTTGATTACCATCATTGCATCTGTCATTGCATTTCTTACTGTACGACATGTGTTTATTTACATTTTCAACAAGACCACCATGTACTCGAAACTCGAAAACAAAATAATCAACACATTCTCTTACACTGCATTAAATGGTGCATCGCCTCCGTTGGGTGCTTTATTGGTCGTTTTGGCCCTGATATCTGCTGTATTACCACTGCTTTTATTAAATGTCGACTTGGCTGTCAATTCAAATCGTGCAGGCTTTTTGTGTCTCGTCATGGTGCCATTTTTGCTATCGTCGACTGGCAAGAATTCAGCCATCTCGTTGCTGACAGGCATCTCTAGTATCAAGCTCAACTTTTTGCATCGCATCCTTGGCATGGCCTTGTTTATATGTGCTACTGTTCACATGTCTACTATGATTTATGCGTGGTCTAAATTTCCCGCATTCCTCAAAGCTGAATTAGCATTGACCAAAGTGCAGTACGGCCTGGCTGGTTATGGATGTCTCTGTGTAGTCATTCTGGGCAGCATATGGCCTGTACGTCTCTTTTGTTATGAAGCATTTGTAGCAACTCACATACTGGGCATTGCTTTCATTGGCTGCATCGCTGTGCACACTCCTTATGCCATGCGCTACTTCTTTTCTGGTCTGGTGTGCTACTTGCTGAATCTGCTGGCTGTTTGGTTTGTCAAGACCTATGTGGCTCATGCTCGATTTGAGATTCTGCCTGAGGGATGCACCAAAGTCTCTATCCGACTGGCGAGTCCCATCAAGACACATCACATTGGACAGTACATTAACCTATGCATCCCTTCCATCTCTCCATTCCAATGGCATCCATTCACCATTACAAGTGTACAGCAGTCAAATGCAGCTTATCAAAACTCGATTGAAGTGTGTGTCTGCTCTCGTGGCAACTTTACTCGCTCCTTGTACAAGTGTGCGCTGCCAGATCAAGACATGCGCGTGTTTGTAAGTGGCCCATTTGGCAGCAAGGATATCCAAGCCGCTCGTGTGCTGGACACCTACTCCTCTGTTGTCATTGCATCTGGCGGCTCGGGTGTCACATTTGGTATGCGCTTGTTGCGTGAACTAACTGACACACTCGTCATGCAACAGGAGCAACAGGATGACAACAGCCATGCCTCTCTGCTGAACCATAACAAAACCAAGGACATTTACTTTTTCTGGTGTGTGCGACGTCCTTTGGAGATAGGATGGTTTCGCCAGGAGTTGGAGCAAATCAACTATCTCTACCATGCGCATGACCAGTTCCCCAACTTGCATATCAAGTTCCATATCACTGCTGGTGAAACACACGGCATGATCCAAGAATCGGCCTTGACTGAGAGCAGCGCCAACAACAAGGAAACGATCGACTCGGAAGATGCCACTACTGCCAATCATTATCAATTAGGTCCTAGAAAAGACATTGATGTCGTCTATGGATGTCGTTTCGATGCCCAGTCTGTGTTGGCCTCAGCGAATGGTGATGTGGGTGCTTTTGGTAAGTGCAGTAATGCAGCTGGTTTCTGTTTGCGTATGTTTACTAATCCAGAGTTTAGTGTGTGGTCCTACAAGCTTTAACGCCTCATTCAAAAATCAAGTAGCCTTGCATAGATCCAATGTACATCTCCACTGTGAGAGCTTTAGTTACTAGTAGAGAGTCATATAAACGCTATTAATTTATTTATTCATTCCTCTTTTCTGTACCAACAACCACTGTATTAAAATATTTTTATCACATGTAAAATAAGTATATCATGCTAAACGCTCTCTGTTTCTCCCTGTTGATGATGATGCACGTTGATAGCTTGTGGCACTAGTTCAAATTCTGGAATAGACACAATAGAGGAAGTATCCGATAAGCCAGATGGAGATGGAGGGGCTGATGCCGAAGAGAAATACAGCGATGATTGCGCATCACTTGTGCTGTGGAGTGACGGAGATCGTTCATTAGCTTCGTTGGGAGAGTGTGCTGTAGCACTATGACCTTTTGCTGTGGAATTGGAGGCAATACTCGCAGCATCGTCATCATCTTCTGATGGTTGGTGACCATGTTGAGGACTAAAGTAATCCATCAAGGCACTAGCGTCTTGTTCTGCGTCGCCTTCCTCCTCATCAGAATGATAGTAGAGATTATCATCGTCGTCTTCCATTTGAGGCGTAGCAGTGACAAAAGATTCAGCATCTGTGCTATACATCTCTTCTTCCACAATGACACCAGAAATAGGTGTGGATACATTGAATGTGGTTGTAGTGGGCAGTGGCGTGGAAGACTTGCTGTAAGCGGCCGGCTCATTGAACGACTCCTCTGTTCTGACAGATCGTAGACTCCTTGCTGGTGAGGACAGTGCGCCGACAGACGTGCCTCCAATGCTGATCTTTCGTGTGTCCATGTTCTGGCTATGACTGAGTCGCATCATGTGAACAGGATGCTGCTCCAACTCATCGAATGAGCTGGACGAGTTTCTCAGCACAAGATCCTCGTCCAGGGAAGACAGACTGACACCACTTGCGATATGTACCAACAGACGACACCACGTAACAAGCTCCTCCCTGGTTGATGTACGGAACACAGATATCTTGTCTCTTTGAAGCACGTTGGTGGAGGGCTTGCATATTTCAAATGTGTTGCTTGTATCGCCCGCGTATTCTGTCAAGACAGTGTGCAGTTTACTGAGATCGATGGAGGGCACAATGGTGGTGTTTGGTATGTAGATGGTCTTTTCAGGGGTCACTTTATCGTCCAGGCTAAACTGATGAAGGTAGCCACCTACACACACAGCAAAGGCGTTATTCTACAATGTTGCTTTTGCATACATCATCATATACCTTGACTGAGCACATAGTTCCTCTCAATAAACTGCTTTCGCACGCCAAATTTCCTCTCCATTTTCCCCTTCAACAATGTCATAACCAGAGGATGAAACTTGTTTGGATAGTTGATCTTGAGATAGTCTTTGGTAGGGTTCTTTTCATTGACAAAATTCGACTTGTTCTCTTGTACAAACTGATCCCAGCTCTGCTGTGGCATGATCTGATCCATCATCAACTCAAAAGGCGCAGTTTCCTTATCCTCAGATCCATCCCAAGCACTAGGAGATAGTACCTCGTAACAATATCTAATTGTGGGCTTGATCTGCTGAATGACTTGCTGCTCCAAATCTGCTGTCTCTTTCTGGATAGGTATCATAAGCAGCCTCAATCGATTTTCCTCGTCTACTTCGCGCTTCAACTGTCTCAACACCACTATAAACAGATACTTTGACATGAGATATGCGTGGTACAAATATATATAAATACGCTTGGTAACACTTACATAAATTTGCCACCCAGGGATCCATCTCGACTTGCTGTCCACTGAGTTTGTCTGCTTGCTTGCAGCAGCGGTTCAGGTGTGTCATTTTACTTCTTGTCACTTCTGCTCGACGTAGCAATTCATCCAGTACCAATGTAGGGTCATTCTTCAGTTGCTGCACTCTGTCCTTGACCTGTCTACGCAGTTTAAACAGAGTGGGTAAGTGATCTCGCTCTAGACATTTACTGAACGCTTGCTGTTCTGCTGCCATCTGCATCGTCAGTGCTCTGAATCCAGCTTGTATTGTGCGTATCGATGCATTGACATTGTCTGGCAGACTTTGATCCACATGTGGATAGGCTTTCTGGGAAAATCCACGGCTACTCACCAGACTGATCTTTGCTACTTCTTCCACCCAGCTGGTGACAGATTTTAGACACTGATGCCATGTCTCTAGTCTACTGATGATGAAGTCAGCTCGATTCAGGCTGGCGTTGTTGGGTGCAGGATGGTGGCTTGTAGTGGTTGTTTGGCTGGTAGATTTCGTGTTGGTGGTGAGCACAGAACCATTGCTCCCGTATTTTCGTGGCGGATGAGGTAACTGTAGCGGCGTTGATGTGGAGGATGTCAATTGAATGCGTTGTTTATCAGATTGAGCATCAAACATAAAGTCGCTGCCCGAAGATGAAGAGGATGATCGAGTCAATTTGGATGATTTCGGAAGCGATGCAATGGTGGTTAGACTTTTAGAGGCTTTCAGAGTATCCGGTCTCTTTGGCTGCTTGTCAAAATGTTCAGTGAATCGACTACGGTAATTGGATTTGAGGGGAGGCGGTGGGGCAGAGAGAAATAAAGAGGCATCACTGTTGCTGCTGTTGGGAGGAATAGACGATGTTTCACTGGGCGACAAGGAGTGGGTAGACTGGTTTGAGCTATGCGTTGATATTTGATCCATTGCGGATAACGTTCGCAATCTGCTCTTGTTTGGTCTGCGAGGTGGCATTGGCGAAGGACTTGTTGGTGGGCTGGGCGTTGGCGATAGAACGTCTGCCATGGCAGCAAGAGTAAAGAAGAGAGAAAGAGGTGCTCTTGAAAGAAATAAGATTATTGTTAATAAAGGAAATTACATTCATGTTGCACTTGCACAACATCAAACTGAGCATCTGTTGTATTGGGATTTCCCAACAAGATTTGAGCGAGATCAGGATTGCTCGTTCTTCATGTGCTGGATGTCGTTTTAGTGTAGAAAACACACTGTGGATAGCATGTGTAATGATGATTTGAAAAGTGCATGACAATGTATAGCAAAGTCAAAGGAGAGAAAGACCAGCCAAGATTGCTCAAGCACACCGCCTCATTATCACGCGACTTGCACACACTCTTGAAATCAGGATGATGACAGCGTCACAGGCTATTCTGGATGCCTCCAAACTAGAGTGTAACGCTTCTGGCTCTTTCATGTGATTTTGAGCAAATCTTTGAGGAATGTGTTAATACACCATTTGTAGTGGGATCTTTATGACTAAAAAGCTTGGAAAAAAATGCAATGATTTTATTCTAAAGGCTTTATCGAAAGCCAAATCGAATGTTGTATTAGACCCACTGTCGCACAATTCGTCTCCAATTCAAACTACTGGAAAAAGATGACCTAAAGTTTATTCCATTTTTTCGATACTAGACTGATAACAAAACGCACGGATGTTTGGTATATAATAAGCTTTTCTTTTCTTTTTTGCCCCCCTCATCATTTATATCTCCTTCTTTTCTTTCTGTCTTACACATACAAAGAAGACCATGTCTGATTTTTCGATATTTCTTGGTGGTGAAAACCGAGTCGTTTTACCATTCTTTGCCTACCCTGCACTAGTAGCTGCCCCTACACTGGCACTGGCATTAGGCGTCATTGTGCCAACTGACAGGTTGCCAAGTATTTTCAAGCAAATTTTATCAATCCCACTATTACTAGCCGTTTTCATGATTCCTTTTGGATTCACAAACGGAAACAAAAGTAAGTTGTTGGGTTCTACATTCCTTGTGTGTACATGTGTGCTAAACAAGCCATTTTACCCCTTCATTTAGTTGCCGACCTCATTGCTGGAGTATCATCTTACAACCTCTTTCTTCGTTTTCTGGAGTTGTATTGGGTTGGGCCATTAGTGCAAGACAGACCAGTCTATGCTACCATGGAGAGCTTGTGGATTGATTTTTGGTGCTGTTTACGCACTTTTCCTAAACCAGCTAAAAAGGATACGCCAGAATTGAAAAAGGGACAAGTGAAAGTATATAAAAAGGACAAGGTAAGAATTAGTTCAAAGGGGGGGAAAGCGAGAGAGAGAGAGAGGAAGGGAGATTGGTCTATACGTGATAAACTCAACAGTATCATCATTACCCAACCTAGAAATTCTACCACATCATCTTGTATTTGACGGGTCATATAATTGTCACTGATGTAGTGGCAAGTTGGGCTGCTTCATTTACTGGCGAGGAAGTGCATCGTATGAGTATAGAGAAACCAGCTGTGTTCTTTGTCTTTTTCGCATTTGCCACCATTATCTTGAATGCTGTTTTTAACTGTGTGGGCTATATTCTTCATTTATTCTATTGTATCTTTGTGGAAGGCGGATCTTACTCATCAGAGCAATGGCGTTCGCTCATAAATAATCCCATCTTGTCAAGCTCTCTGGATGAACTTTGGTCTCATCGCTGGCATCAATTGTTCAAATCAACATGGCTCGCATTCCCATTCAGACCTGTCCGCATCTTGGTAGAACGTGCTCTCACCAAGCGTGTCAAGCATGCCAAGTCAGTCGCCTTTCTATTGGCCTCCATCTCGGTATTTGTTGCCTCTGCACTGATGCATGAATATGTCATTGCTGCCAATATAGGTTTGCCTATCTACAAGCGTGTATTTGCAGGTGAGCAGTGTATCTTTTTTATTGGACACGGCATTGGCGTCTTTTTTGAGCATTTGGTGCACATGTTGATCATTCCCAAACTGCCAAAAAGCTTCAAGGAATCCGTGCTCTATGAAATCTTGGGCCACGTATGGACAGCCACATTTGGCTACTTTACCTTCTACTGGATTGCCAATGGATTCATGTCTTGGGGATTCCAATTTGACAACCCATTGACATTTTCAAAGCCATACATTGTCAATTTTGTCCAAGCTCATCCTCGTCTGCTTGCCAACTGGGGAAGCCATGTTTAATCATACTCCTAGATTTTTTTCTTATACCATATTTTTCCTATCATTACACCCTATTCAATATTAAATAAATTATATCGTATCATCAACTATATTTGACAGAGAAGCTTCATGTCGAGTGGGCAATTCAAGTTCAAAGAGTGACACTCCATACGAAATTTACTATTTTTTTCAACCCCTTTGCAATCACAGCCACTCATGCTCGGCTGAAGTAGGTATCAGTAAAAATGGCTTTTATACATTAGTGAGGAAAATATTTCTAACTTTACTGCTAGCATAAATACAAGTAATAGTTAGATTGTCTTGAGATGCTCCAATGCGAGTTCTTAAAGGTTGGGATCATCCTACAGTTCAGAAAACCGTTCAAGCCCCTTCAAAAAATGACAGCTACAATGCCATTATCATTGCATCACGTCACTGCTGGGCTACCACACACACACACACACCGTATGGCGATGTCTCCTCTTTAAAACCCCATTTTCCACATCTCTGTGTTTACTCTTTTCATTCACACACACACACACTCTCTCTCTCATACTTTATTTATTCCATACGATGGCACAAAATATCCTACGCACATCCACCACCAAAAGAGTCTGCTTAGCTTCTACCACTAACAGCACCAAACATTGGCTTGATGCACGATCCTTTAGCAGCAAAACAACGGGTTGGTTTAGACGATTCTTGAGCCCTGCTGAAGAAAAGAAGCTTTACTTTGGCATCACCAGTTCATTTCGTGAAAAACTCGTTGAACAATCCAACAAGAGCGCACAGACCTACAGCAATATCATTGAACACGCCATCTTGAGTGCAAAACCAGTGCCGTCCAAATTAACAAAGACAGGCATGCTTTCATTTGCACGCATTGAGCAACTCAAATTGGATCTGGACGCAGCAGGAAAACAAAGAGACATAAAGCGACTGAATGAATTGGAGATGGAAATGAATAGTGCAGATCTAAAGACAGTGACCATGTACAATCGACTGATTCGTGCGTATATATGGAGCGATTCGTTGGAATCTGCTCAACATGTTTTGGATTCGTTTGAACATGGTGGCATGGTGCCGACAACAAGAACATTCACTTATCTTATCCAAGCTTACCTCAAACAGAATGATCTACAAGCAGCGAAACAGCTGGTGGAACAAATGCAACATCTTTCTCTACTGAAGCTGCGAAACAACTTTGACTGCAGCATCATGTTGAAATACTATCAGGCTGCTGGAGACACACATGCGATTGAATATTTATGGCGTGATATGATGTTGCACGCAGATGTCATTAAACCGGGCCCTGGGTTATTCACGCAGTATTTGGAGTATCTACATGTCAAGAAGGATTTGAATACCATCACACAACTAGCGCATGATTTCTTGCTGCTGCTGCACAGCCAACAACCGTTGAATCCACATCAATACGTCACATGGATGAAGGCTGTCAAAGCAATAGCTACTACCACCAATACCCCGCAAGCAGAGCACCTATTATTTCATCTCATCAAGAACGCACCACCCAAGATTTCATGGGACAAGGCAAAGGATGCCATGCAGCAAATCGTCGCATCTTATTTGGCGCAAGAACAGGAACTCAAGGCTGTGGCATTTTATTACAAGCTGGGTAAATTGGGCGTGCCTGATACAGCATTTGAGCCTCAAATGGTGTACTCCATTGAAGCAGTACTACAACGCATAGAGGAAAAAAATAGATTAACAACATTGGAGGAGAACAAGGCGGTGTTGGCAGAATTAGAGGGATTGATATTAGCTAAAGTTTAGCCCTTTTATTGCTACTGGACGTAGTGAAGTGGTCCACTAATAAACTGTTGTATCTGTCAGGCTGTTCTTCAGGAATGGCATGACCGCTTCCTTCAAACAGCTCAAATCGTGCTGCATCTTGCAGTATTTTCTTCATGTGATACGAGTATTCAGGACGAACCAAGTTATCAAAGGTGCCTGTGACAATCATGATGGGAAGGCCACTGGATTTAATATTGATGAGGCGCTCATCAGACACATAGTGGCGCAAACAAGCTGCTGTTTGGCCTAAATTGCCATGCAGTGGCTGGCGACGAGATCGTCTGATGTGACCTATGAAGCCGTGGATGGCCAATTCTCTGTTTGTGTCGTATTCTTTTTGTACCAATGGTTTTTGATCGAGCCACTCTTTGGGATACACTAGCTCAATGGCTGCATTCAATTGATCTTTGGGGTCTCGATAAAACAGTGCAATTTTAGACAGTGTTGATATAGCTGTCCACTATGTAAATGAACACATTCAATGGTACGTATACTTTGGCAAAGGCCAACAACGGACTTACTGTGGGCAAGTTTCTTCTGGCTGTTGTGCTCGTTAATGTCAATGATTGAAACCGAGTTGGCTCAGCATCTGCCATCTCCAATGAAATCATACCCCCCATTGAGATGCCAACTAGATGAACATTACTTCTCCATTGGAAGTGGTCTAGTAGCTCGAGTGCGTCGACTGCCATTTGAGAGGTCCTGCAAGGACATGCTGGGATGATTAGTTTATCTTTTTTTTATCCATATGATATGACATACGAGTATAGACCAATAGGTGCATCTGTGTGCCAATGGATGAGAATGATAGATTTCTTTACATGACAATATGACGTACCTGAAAATCCCATGCCTCTGTTATCAAACACAATGACTGTATAATCTCCACTTTCTGCTAAATATTTTGTCTATGTAGACATCTTGTTAGATCAATACACTTGATGAGCTACATATACTTTGTATCGCATCTACCATACCTGGTGATCCCAAGCACTGCAAGGTGTACTCAAACCTGTTGACACTATGTATGAGTATAAAGGTGCAAATCAATCAGTGATAACATTACCCATGACAAGAAGGACGTGCTCAGGGCCACTTCCATGCATTTCATAATATAGTTTGATGGGTGCAAATTGTCGACTATGACCAACCTCAACATGGCCTTTTTCGCGAAGAGTATTCAAGTGTTTCATTTCCTCAAGGTTTAATCAAAAAAGAAAAATGCATTGAATACAACTTTGTAGGCTCTATCATCAAATACTTGACAAAATGAGTGGGGTAAATTAGTGTTGTACAAACAGAAAATAATCATATGAAATATTCTGGCAACAAGTGTTTACAGCAATTATGAATGCCATGATATATACTACAAGACGGTTGAATTTGCATTGTCAGCTCTAGTACATCCACTTCACGTGAACTTTAGGAATTAACGTATTGCGCGTTTACACGTATCAGATATACCAGCATTAAGAAGCTGATTTCATATGGTGCCCCAATTCCGAGTCAAGCAGATGACAGGAACTACACCTACAGTCGCCAATCATATAATGATATAAAGGAGCCACATATGCTCCATGTGAATGTTCAAAAGTACAAATGCCCAGTATAACTCATCAATACTCATTAATCCAACATCGAATGTTGCGATCTACCTGACAAAATGACAATGTTTGCGTAACCTAATTTTATTTGTAAGAAAAATATCTATTATGGAATACTTCATGCTTGATAAAAACATAGCAAAGCTATTACAGTATACATATAAATGTGTAGATGGTTAGCCGTTCCAGTAAGGAATCGTTTCCAGTAGCACCACGAGGAGGTTCATCTACATGCTACCAACTGTACTCGAAATTTGACCCTATAGCCTGCTTACCACAATAGCTATAAAGTGGCACTACATCGGCAAGCCCTGAAGCTTGGAGTATATAGCACAACTCCTAACCCTACATGACTATTTAATCTCTAGCCGGTTACCGTGAAAGAAGAATTAAACAAGCACATTGAGCGGAGAGGTCGCAAGTCCATTGAATGGAGAGCAACCAGGTCACAGTGACCCAGGATGACAACTCGCCGTATGCAAAGAGCAACGTAATGCAAGCAACTAGGTATGTTAACCAAAAGTTCGTCAAGAAAAATCTTGATATATGTGGCAAAGCTATTTTTTGATGAACTCTCAAGAGAGATTTCAGGAAAAAGGCGCCTCTTGATGGAAATTTTGTAGAGAGAAAAAGCTTCTAGTTTTAGATGTCCTTCGATCAATCGATTGAAAGATAGACGATTCCAAGGTAAGAAGTTGGGATGAAAGCTTTTAGTTTCATTTCGAAACAAATTTCTTGATCAATTTATCGAAAAAAGGCGATCCAATAGAACGAAGCCTCAAAGAGTCAATGTTCGTTCGATACATCCCTTTGATCAACTCCTTGAGAAATAGATGATCCAAAAGAAGCAAGCCTCAACTAGAGCCATCGTTCATCTGACGTTCCCTTGATCAATTGCTTGAAGAATAGACTTGTCAGATATACTAGGAAGTCTCTGGATTCTGAGAGAAAACTTCTAATTTTGGATGTCCCTCTATCAATTGCTCGAAGAATAGACGTTCCAAGGTAAGAAGTGGGGGGGGGGGCGAAAGCTTTTGATTTCATATCGAAAAGATTCGTTCATCAATTCCTTGAAGAATAGACGATCTTGTCCAACAAAGTCTCAATAAGAGTCATTGGTCATCCGATACATCATTCCTTATTCAGATCCTTGACTTACAAACGATTCAAAAGAAACAAGCCTCAACTAGAGCCATCGTTCATCTGACGTTCCCTTGATCAATTGCTTGAAGAATAGACTTGTCAGATATACTAGGAAGTCTCTGGATTCTGAGAGAAAACTTCTAATTTTGGATGTCCCTCTATCAATTGCTCGAAGAATAGACGTTCCAAGGTAAGAAGTGGGGGGGGGCGAAAGCTTTTGATTTCATATCGAAAAGATTCGTTCATCAATTCCTTGAAGAATAGACGATCTTGTCCAACAAAGTCTCAATAAGAGTCATTGGTCATCCGATACATCATTCCTTATTCAGATCCTTGACTTACAAACGATTCAAAAGAAACAAGCCTCAACTAGAGCCATCGTTCATCCGACATATCCCTTGACCAATTCCTTGAAGAGTAACGATCTTGCCCAACAAAGCCTCAGCAAGAGTCATTGTTCATCCGATACGTTATCCTTAATCAGATCCTTGAAGAATAGATCAATGCCAAATATACTAGGAAGTTTCTAGTACATATACAAGATGTATACAGGATATCCCAAACGCACTACCGCATGTAGTCGCATTCGGTCCATAGGCCAAGTTTAGAGACTATCCAGTTTGTACCTTCTCTGATTACTACGGCGCTGTATCATCCTCCAAAATCACCTACGGGAGGCCGGTCAACTAACCATTCACCAGAAAAGGGGCAGATATCACTGAAAGAAAATCCATAGCTTGATTTCCTCGCCAATGACTGTAGGGTCTTTTAGCTACTTTACAATGTTCCAGTGCTCTAGCGCCTAGGCAAGCAGACCTATCTACCATAATTCAAAGTCCCGAGCCACCGACACAAAGAATCTGGGCTGACCATAAGACTGGATTGCTGACTTGCACTTTCAACGAAAATAGGGGCTCCAAAAAGAAGAACTACTATCTGTGAAGAAGAAGCGAAAAAGGAAAAAAAGGGCGGGAGGGGAGGAGTTTGACATATTTGACACTGTGAGAAAGTGCGAGTCACCTAAACAGGCTATTAATGAACTGTTTATTGTTTTACTTGCGCCAAATGTCGACCAATGTACGTAAAAGGACTTTAAATAAAGCAATACAATTGCCCTACAAAAAAAAAACAAATGTCGACCAAGACAAAATTGGCAGTAATTAACAGGTAATGAATTCTGAAACTTGTAACATGAAAACATTTCGCATGAAAATGAGTCTCCTTGAACTGGAATTCGGAAATCAGTATTTCTTTTAAGTTTTTATTAGCCTAAACAGGATGAGCAGCAGTGTAATAATATAACAGTTTCATTTGAATACTATTAGCGCTTTCTGGTGACCTTGGAATGTAGTGCGAAACAATGATTCATTTTCATGAGAGATTTGGATGCAGCCAAACCGAAAAACCGGTTTTTAGTGTATACTCTCACAGTGTCAATAATCGTACTGCTTGTTTCGGTGACACACATTTGAGTTGCACGTAAAGTAGTCGTTCCTCTTACAATTCAGTCATGGTATTACAACAAATGTTAAAAGATAAAATCATCGAAAAACGATACATTTATTTACTGTTTGTAAAGAGTGAATAAAATCAGGCAAAAAAAGACCCAATTGATTGATATATTCCTTTTAATGCCACAAACTATCTCTTTGCGTATTTTGATTTCTTGGAAGCAGGAGCAGGAGCAGGAGGAGGAGGAATAGTTGTAGTGTTGATGGTAGTAGCTAATTGTTGAAATTGTCGTTGCTGTTGTAGTTTCATCTCTCCAAGAATGTCGTGAATATTTTGCAAGACAGAAATCTGCATTTGCAGAAAGTCTTGCTGATTTCGAACAATGATGGAGCCATCCTTAATAATTTGTTCAATTGTCTTTACATGTTCAGTAATTCTTTTGATATTGTGTTCTGCCATGATAGAAAAGTAAGAAGAAAGAAAGCGACTTATTGAAGATGTGGGCAAGATTTGTGGTATTTATACAGTATATATAAACATTTTAAACCACTTTTGTCTTACGCCGAGTATAATCAACATTCATGCTTGATTGATTTCCAGACACGCATCGTATTCTTTATCTTTTTTTTTTTGGTTGCATGTGTCTGCTTTGCCATGTGCCACTTGTTGATGAATCTATTTTTTGGTATAGTTATGGAAGGCAATGAGAATTAATTAGCTGTCAACTGCACCCTAAGCAAAAAAACAAAAGGGCCTCTCAAGTACAGACTACCAGGCTAGCTCACCTGCGATAAATCCCTAGCAAATGATTACTCCATTGAGACGATATATAAAGGGCGTACGGCCTGATCAGTATGCTCAGGCGTGAGCAATATCAATTGTCGAATAACCTTTAGGAACCACTCAGGTCGGCTTGTTTCATATAGCAGGATAAGTCTCAACCTCTTGACCTTGAGGATGTTGATACCCCTCAGACATTCGTGCACATACGTCATGCAAGTATAGATATAATGTGATAAAACAATCAACATTTATGCTGCTACAAAACAGAAGCTGAGCATGGAGAAAGCGAGCGTAGCCTAGAACGCATGCTTGTTTGTATCACTTACGTAAGCAATATATTTAGAATATGTACACGAACTAGAAACTTGACCTTCAAGACATCCTCGTAGGGAAAGGTTATGTAGCCCTTTTTTAAAGCACCAATCTTAATGGTTGCTCTTTGAAAATCACAACTAGATGAAAAGAGAAGTATGGTTGGGGTGTTTTCAAACAGGCTAATTGGTTGGAAGTTACAGAAAAAATCAAAATTTCGTCTGGAGTGTAACTAACTGCAGGTATAAATTATTTTATAGAGTGTAACTGGCATATACAGTATAAGCATAGCCACAGCAGGTAACATGACAGCCTGCCATTGAAATGGACATTTCTCTTCTATTCAGACAAAGTAAATCGTGGATATGTATATGTCACTAGTAGTAGAATTTTTTTTCATAAATGTATTTTTAAAATGGTAGTGCTTCTCATTAATTCAGATGCCAGACCAGGAGATTCCGCATGTCGAAGTTTAAAATAGCCTAATAATACTACGGATTTTGTTGACTACTTATCATTAGGCGAACTCAGGTATGGAGTGTAACTTCTATAGAACATTTGAAAATAAAAATACAATAAAGGGTTGATGGTAACAACCTCTACCGCTTGTCATAACATCTTGCTGTAGACGTCGTTTGAGCCAGTGAGTTGAGCCATCTCTTAGAGCCAAATTTTAGTGGATGAGCATGCATGCATCCGAGCGCCTGGATAGCCAGTGAACATTACCGCTACAGGAGGATTATTGAAAGTGATTTCCGAAATCATAAAGAATAAAGACAGCGATTGATAGAGCATCTAGATTCAAGCATCTTTCTCGATAATGGTTATTAGTTCCCTACAAGATTGACGACGAAAAAATTCTTTAAACTTTTGAGAGCACGGACCTCAGTGATACAGTGACAATGCAGTGGGTTGCAATACGACAGCAGCCATTTTGTGGTGTCAATGTCACAGCTAAAAAAAATTTCTTCAAAGAATTGTAGGAGCTCACTACACTATTTTATCACCAGAGTAGTAAAAGCAGCGGCGCCGTGGTGTTATAAATGAAACATCGCGTCTTAGTTTATGTCTGATGAAGCAGCAATATAAGGCAATGCAAACGAAAAGTTTGGTTCGATGCTGAGAACCCCCCTTAATTACAACAGGTATTTTTCGAGTTCAGTTACTGGGAGGTACAGGCAGTACACTACAACATTGCATAGCAGGCCAAAAGTCTCATATATTGTAAGACTGTTTTCTTTGGAGTACCGAGAGGAAATTTGAAAAATTAATTATTTAAGAAGTACTATTTTTTTCACCCTTTTTTATTATGCTTGATTTGTTTTTTCCTTATTTTTCCTTTGTTTTCCTGTGGTTTACGGTTTGCGGCGAGATTATGCCCAATTTTTTTTTCTCGGCGAAATTTCTATCTGGGCTTGCTGTATACTTCATTATCATACTGCTATGGCCCACATTTAGTGCCCTTCGGGGATGCTGGCCAATGTTCAGCGTCTTCAATATCTCGGCTTGCCCATCATAATCGATAGCCCAGCAACATTCCCATGCTATCTTCTTTATACCATATCAGCATTCTCTCCTCATCAATTTTCACATATTTTACACGCAATCTTGTCGCTTAAATCTACAATAACGTATCTGATTGAAAAAAAAAGACTCAAAAGGCCTTTAATCTATGATATTCTCTCATCATATCAGTCGTATCTCTGCATATTATTTTTGCTACTGAATTTACTACTATTTTATCCGTTTGTGTCAATTTCTTGGCGTGGTGTGATAAAGCATACATTTCACTCAGAATACTCTGATCTATGCTACTGACAATCAAACAGATCACGATTAAGGCTTGAATTTTATTTCAAAAATGAATTTGATTAATTTAATAGAAGATGTACTTGTATCTTAGGATGCTAGATGAGTATACATGCTTTAAACACTTCCAAACACGGAAGCAGACGATCTCGATCGATGAAACACACCACATCATGAGCATGTGAATTTGTATCATACTAATTAGAAGATTTTTTAAAGTAAACATAATATGATTAGTTTGTATCTCATTGCTGTTGCTGTTTATCTGGTACGTTTCACAATGATACTTCAAAGGGTAATGAGCTATTACTTCTATTGGTCCCCCAGGAATCGATGATGTATTGTAAAGTAAATGTTTGTTCTCATGCATAGGAAAAAACGGAAATCTTATGACATATTATATATTCTCTGACATGAAGGATACTAAGCAGCATGTGATAATAATATACATATGACATTTTGAGACTTGTATGGGAATCGCATGGCTACTGCTTTGTGTATCGCACTTTCCTCATTTTTATAATTGGTAATTAGGAGACCAAATATGGTATCTCTTTTGAAGGTCGCATGATTGCCAATCAGTTTATGTTGTACGTCAGCAGCAAATAATTGCGATAAAAAGCAAATAGCAACATTGATCACTCTTAGTAGTACTTGGTTTCCGCTGCATTGCGTTGAAAAGCGTTTCTATGATGATAGAAGCCTCGAGGTTTAAAAATATGACTTTTATCATGTACATATACAATAGTAAGCCTATATCTTCAATATCAGGGGTTTCAACGTTTCATTTTTAGTGGAACTTTCTTGTTTTGGAAAATAGATCCTATATCTACCAAAAACTAAGCATCTTTCAGCAGTTGACGCCTTCTTGGTCATCATTATTCCGAATGAGAAAATGTCATCTAGAGTGTAACCTTGCTGTATAAAGTTGAGAGTTGTCATTCTAATCATTTCAGTACTTGAAGGCGGTTAATAAAATAATTTCATTGATTATAACTAGTACTGTTAAGAATTAAAAAAAATGCCAGTATAATGCTAATATCTGAGAAACATATTATCGCCGCGGACAGCCTGGAGTGTAACTAGACGGCTGCAACAACCATTTTTAGATGCCATCGATAATTGCCCCAGAAAACGATACTACTGTGTTTTGATTGTACCAGATGAGTACTAATAAAGCTTCGGCTTGAAAACCTTACTTGTGAGCTAGGTTTGGTAGCGGAAATGCTGCTAGATCTACTTGCTAATGATAATGCTAATACATCAAAATGATAAATCGCATGCAGACGACATGAAATGGACGGGGTATTGTAAGTACTAGAGTAGCCTTTGTTGCTACGATGTACTGAGATTAAGCCTTTGTCATTGAATTTGTTCCTCTAAGGAACACTTTCTAATCAAAAATTAATATTTTTTATATTTTTTTTTATCTATCAAGGTATGGGTTACACTCCATATTTTTTATATTTTTTTATCCAAGGTATGGGTTACACTCCATATTTTTTAGTCAACTTTAAAAAAAAAAAATAAAGTCAAAAGTTACATTCCATATGAAAATCGCGATTTTGTCATCGATTATAGTGGCTAGCAGCAGAAGCAAATCTCGGTTCAGCCAAATTTGAAAGGTAATAAATTAAACGTTTACAACTTGACAATTACAATTAATGACGAGTAATAGCGAATAGTAAACCAATGCACAAGGTCTTGGAGCACCTTGTAATCAAAACCGCTTGACCATACCTTGCTTCACTGTCATTTGGCAGAGAGCTAAAGTTTTGTGGTGCATTTTAACAGTGTTTCGATGCTATTACCCGTATAACTGTCAACTCAACCTGACTTCGCCATTAATTAAAATTTTCTCTACTTTTTCTGCTCTACAAAATGAGACCTCGAGCAATTGCTTTTCGACAACAAATTGGCAGAGAATAGCCTATTAGGCGCTGTAGATCCACGAAAACTGGTGCTACACCTTCAAGTAAAACCTCAAACGAAAGGTAGCTCTTTGGTTCACGCAATAAACAACACTATAGATGAAGTAGCGCAAATTTAGTACATACTTTCCTTGAGATTTTTCAAAATATATGAAAAACAAGCTTATTTGCGCACAAGCTATACAGCATCACTTACATGTGTGGTATTATTTGATGCGCATTAAAATTCTCTGCCAAGCTACGTGGCTAATATAGCTGCATTAGAAATTTTTGACAATTTTTCTGCCTAAAAGTCGCAAAATACAGGATTTTGAGCAAAATCATGAAGAGGGCGTGCATTTGGAATTTAAAGCACACATATCATAATAGATCCAGAGTAGAGTTATTGAATGGTTTTTGTTTATCTAAATATGATGCGTCTTTCACAAGATATGATCAAAAATTCCTTCGTGCAAAATCACCGATTTTTGGACAGAATTTGCCTACAGTAGCAAGGAGAAAATCTGGATGACAATTTTTTGAGATACAAAATTGTTGGTATTTCATGATAAAATTATGCTAGAGCTTTGAATCAGAGCTCATTCGGCAGGATTTTTTTTTGCTCTATACTTTGATAAGTACTAC